TTTCCGATAATTGATGATGAGGATGAAGATGACTGGAGTAGTCTACCTTACATTGATGAGGAAGGGGAGGATGAGGAGGAAGAGAGGGAAGAAGGCGAGAGGAGAGGTAGCAGCTCTGAGGAATACTTCTCCTGCTCTTCCTCCTGTGCTTCTGGCAGGTGTGTGTGTGTGTGTGTGTGTGTGCGTTCATGTTTGTGTGTGTGTGTAACTCTTCTCTGTGGGTGTCTGTGTGTAGGTATGTGGTGGTGTCTGGAACACCCCTGAAGATCCTAGAACACCTGCTGAGTGACCTACGACTGGACGACCAGAGAGGAGCGCCAGAGAGCAAAGAGTCTGGTTAGCACACACACACACACACACACACACACACACCCACACACACACACATATATACAAACACACAAACACACAAATACACACACACACATATACACACAAACACACACACACACATACAAACACACACACACAAACACACAAATACACACACACACATACAGACATACACATACACACACATACATACACATACATACACACACACAGACATACATACACAGACACACATACACACGCACATACACACACATACACACACACATACACACAGCAGAGAGTTTGGTGATTGGGGGATCCTCAAGGTCCATTTGTGTGTTTCACCCATTTAAAGGATCAAGAAATCTGTCACATACATGCCAACCATCCCTTATTCCAGTCTTTTAAAGTATTTTAAAGCTTAGGCTATTTTATAGAATGAGCCTTGTGGCAACACAGGCTTTGCAATATGGTAGTTATAGGCCTAGACCTAGGGTGTCCACCCCATCTGCCCAGAGTGGGTGAAAACGTGCTTCGGTAATGAAATTTCACTTCCTTATGTTATAAAATACATTTTACCAAGACAAGTATGATTATTCATGTTCTGAATCGTTCAGTGGGGTTGTTCTCTAGGATATCATTAACGTTATATCCAAAAAGTCGGATTTCGTAACCTAATACATCCGATAATAAGCACCGAGCTCTGTTGACGTGGCGGTGCAGGTTTCTCACAACAACAACTTTTGAGGATTTTACATTTTGTGTCCGTCGCCTTCAGTTGTTTCTGCAGGTCACAAAAAGCTAAATTAGCGTGACACGAGCTGAATTACATGGAAAAGGCTTAGAAAATAAACAGTTTGCTATAGTCTCAGTGCTCTGTTGACATTTCACAGAGATACGCTTGTTTTGTGAGATATCTTCTAAAAAGAACAGGAATTTCAAATGAATGTGAAAGCGTATACTAAAATATGAAAATACTACATGTCTATGTCTCAAAATCAATATCCATCTTACCTCTATATTGTTTTATGTCCTGCGGATTCGAGAAGAATGATGAGTTCAACAGGAAAGGGAGCCTGTCGGGTTGCCAGTATCCTTAATTCTAGCACAGAATCCAGCCTAGCTGACGCAGTACTATTTGCCAGATTTTTGACCACTTTTTTTCTCTGGCCTCCACTGATTTAGTCACCCTAATTCTGACCATCCTACAAGGGTAAAAACTCCAATAACTTTTGATCGGATTATGATAGAGACTTGAGGTTTGGACTTTTAGACGATTCTCTATACAATTAACATATTATTTTACCCATTGGTCAAAATATGCGTTTTTGATCGGACACCTAAGTGTGTGTGTGCGTGTGTGTGTCTGTGTGTTTGCGTGCACCACTCCCTCCCCTGCTCTCAAAATGTCTCAACATGTCGCAACACAACCGCTACTTTTACTCTTTCATTCTCTCTCTTCCATTCTCTCTTCAATTCTCTCTCTCATTCTCTCCCTTTCATTCTCTCTCTTTCATTCTCTCTCTTTCTCTCAGGAATGTATTGTTGCTATAATCCCTGGTGATTCGTTGTCTTCTTGATCATGTTGACATCTGTGTAGCGGGAGTGGGTGGTTGCTTGTGTGTGTGTGTGTGTGTGTGTGTGTGTGTGTGTGTGTGTGTGTGTGTGTGTGTGTGTGCGCGTGTGTGTGTGCGTGTGCGTTTGTGTGTCTGTGTGTCTGTTAAGTACACCAGCCATGTCTGGGCGTGTAGACTGAGGTGCGTTGGAGTGTATAAAGGGTTCCGAAGGGTTTGGCAGCCTGTGGTGGTCCAGACATGTTACAGTGTTGTCTGACTAGCGTGACCCATGGGAAATACTGACAGAAGACCATCTTGGGTAAAAGAGTCTTTGGCCCTGATGGTCACCAGTCGAAAAGAGAGATGAAGGGATGGAGGATAGGAGATGGAATGAGTAGGGGAGGAAATTGAGGAGAGACAGAGAGAGAGGAGAGAGGGGAGGAGAGGAGAGAGAGAGGAGAGTGGGTGCGTGCCTGCGTGTACACACACGTGTGTGTGTGTACATTTGTGTGTGTTAAACAGCAATAAACGGGGAAAGAGAAAGAGAGAAAAAAAAAAAAAAAGGGGGAGGGGTGGGGGGGGGGGAATGGGGGGGGGGGGGAGGGAGGGGGAAAGGGGGGAGGAGGAGGGGGGGGTGGGGAGGGGGGGGAGAAAGGGGAGGGGGGGGGGGGGGGGGGGGGGGCGGGGGGGAGGGGAAACAGAGGGAGGAAGAGGGCGGTAGGTTGGAAATTTGAATTCCCGTCCCCCCCTCTCTCTTCTTCTCTCTTCCCTCTCTCCTCTCCAAATCTTATCTCGGTAAAAGCCTCAAGACTTATTCAGTTATTCATCAGGAGTGTGTGTTGTGTGCATATGAGTGTGCGTGCGTGTGTGTAGAGGGCATATGTTGAAGATGAATTTGGAGGAGAGATGTTAACATGGAGAAAATGAGAACAGTGTTGGAAGGAGGGAGGAAAAGATGGAGAGAGGGACGGACAGAGGAAGAGAGGGGTGGAGAGAGGGACGGACACAGGAAGAGAGGGGTGGAGAGAGGGACGGACAGAGGAAGAGAGGGGGTGGAGAGAGGGACGGACAGAGGAAGAGAGGGGTGGAGAGAGGGACGGACAGAGGAAGGAAGAGAGGGGTGGGAGAGAGGGACGGACAGAGGAAGAGAGGGGGTGGAGAGAGGGACGGACAGAGGAAGAGAGGGGTGGAGAGAGGGGACGGACAGAGGAAGAGAGGGGTGGAGAGAGGGACGGACAGAGGAAGAGAGGGGTGGAGAGAGGGACGGACAGAGGAAGAGAGGGGTGGAGAGAGGGACGGACAGAGGAAGAGAGGGGTGGAGAGAGGGACGGACAGAGGAAGAGAGGGGTGGAGAGAGGGACGGACAGAGGAAGAGAGGGGTGGAGAGAGGGACGGACAGAGGAAGAGAGGGGTGGAGAGAGGGACGGACACAGGAAGAGAGGGGTGGAGAGAGGGACGGACAGAGGAAGAAGCCAGCTAAATACACTAGTCATTTAAAGTGGTGTTCTATAAAAAAAAGCTTATTTTCCTATCTAAATAAAGATAGCTGGTTAGTTCATTATTTATAGGAACCTAGTGTCAGATAGGAACCTAGTGTCAGATAGGAACCTTTCTGCTCCTCTATAATTAATCTCCATTCTCTGCCCTGCGGAACCAGTACTGTTTGAGCTCTGCCTGCACAGATTCACTAATCTTGATAACATAATAAGAGACTATTTGGATGTAAGATGATTTGTAGATCAGTGATTCTGCGCAGCACCTTGCTCAGGCCGATCCCTTCGAACACTGGGTGGCGTTCTCACCCCTTCATGACAGCATTGCCAGGGCTGGACAGGGAATATCCACCATTACTTACACCATTCCATTCCTCCTTAAACCTTCAGGGAGAAAGGCAGAGTGAAATAGATGGTGTCCTGGGCTCATATACCGTGTTGCCGTGGGTTCAAGTCTGGCCCATGCCCTTTTGACACAAACCCTCTTCCAACTTTTCTGTCTCTCTCTCACTGTCTAAGGTGTAGAGGTTTGTTATGTCTGTTACCTGTGATGGGTTTCCTGTTTCAGAGCTGCTGCTGGATGACTTCCTGTTGACGTACCTGGTGTTCATGACGACCAACGACCTCTGTCAGGCCCTGCTCGGACAATATCCTTTACACTCTGATGTGTGCGTTTTTGTTTGTTTGTTTGTCTGCCTGTGTGTGTGTCAAAGTGTGTGTGTTGTCCTTAACGTGTCCCACCTACAACAGTAAGCGTGTGTGTGGCCAGGATCAGGAAGAGGGGAAGGAGGCCCTCTATAGGAAGAGGAAGGTTTTACACCTGGTCTCTCACTGGACACACCTATATAAGGACTTCCTACGAGAGGATGAACACATCAAGACATTCATGAAGGTAGGACACACACACTGGTTATTACATACATGTGTGTACGATAACGCATATACTTAGGTTTTGATGAATGTGCTGGCATGGGAAATATCATCACTGCATATACATACACACACACTGATCACTTGCCCTGCTGTAACGTGCTGTGTTACCATGGTAACCAGAGTGTGAAGGTTGTCATGGGGATAATTTAGTGTAACCCAGGTGATAGTTGCCTAGTAACAGGCAGGAAAGGGGATGTATGCTACATATCAGTGATAAGTGTGTGTGTGTGTGTGTGTGCTTGTGAATTTGTAGCTATGTTTTCCCCCAGCACATGTCAGCACATAAATATACAGTACTTAAACCTAAATATATCTCTATAACTGTCTGTTAGAGGTGTATATTAATGTGTGTGTGTGTGTGTGTGTGTGTGTGTGTGTGTGTGTGTCAGACTCTCTCTAGGTGTTTGTTAGAGGATCTTTATGAGTTTCCATCTCTGGAGAAAGACATGAAGGAGTTCCAGAAGCTTCTACGACGCAGACAGTGAGTGTGTGTATATATGTGTGTGTGTGTGTGTGTGTGTGTGTTTATGTATGTGTTTATGTACAGTACCAGTCAAAAGTTTGGACACACCTACTCATTCCAGGGTTTTTCTTTATTTTAACTATTTTCTACATTGTAGAATAATAGTGAAGACATCAAAACTATGAAATAACACATATGGAATCATGTAGTAACCAAAAAAGTGTTAAACAAATCAAAATATATTTATATTTGAGATTCTTCAAATAGCCACCCTTTGCCTGAATGACAGCTTTGCACACTCTTGGCATTATCTCAACCAGCTTCACCTGGAATGCTTTTCCAACAGTCTTGAAGGAGTTCCCACATATGCTGAGCACTTGTTGGCTGCTTTTCCTTCACTCTGCCGTCTGACTCATCCCAAACCATCTCAATTGGGTTGAGGTTGGGGGATTGTGGAGGCCAGGTCATCTGATGCAGCACTCCATCACTCTCCTTCTTGGTAAAATAGCCCTTACACAGCCTGGAGGTGTGTTGGGTCATTGTCCTGTTGAAAAACAAATGATAGTCCCACTAAGCCCAAACCAGATGGGATGGCATATCGCTGCAGAATGTTGTGGTAGCCATGCTGGTTAAGAGTGCCTTGAATTCTAAATAAATGATAGACAGTGTCACCAGCAAAGCACCCCCACACCTCCTCCATGCTTTACGGTGGGAAATACACAGACGGAGATCATCCGTTCACCCACACCGCGTCTCACAAAGACACGGCGGTTGGAACCAAAATCTCCAATTTGGACTCCAGACCAAAGGACAGATTTCCACCGGTCTAATGTCCATTGCTCGTGTTTCTTGGCCCAAGCAAGTCTCTTCTTCTTATTGGTGTCCTTTAGTAGTGGTTTCTTTGCAGCAATTCGACCATGAAGGCCTGATTCACACAGTCTCCTCTGAACAGTTGATGTTGAGGTGTGTCTGTTACTTGAACTCTGTGAAGCATTTATTTGGGCTGCAGTTTCTGAGGCTGGTAACTCTAATGAACTTATCCTCTGCAGCAGAGGTAGCTCTGGGTCTTCCTTTCCTTTGGCGGTCCTCATGAGAGCCAGTTTCGTCATAGCGCTTGATGGTTTTTGCGACTGCACTTGAAGAAACTTTCAAAGTTCTTGAAACTTTCCGTATTGACTGACCTTCATGTCTAAAGTAATGATGGACTGTCGTTTCTCTTTGCTTATTTGAGCTGTTCTTGCCATAATATGGACTCGGTCTTTTACCAAATAGGGCCATCTTCTGTATACCCTCCCCACCTTGTCACAACACAACTGATTGGCTCAAACGCATTAAGATGGAAATAAATTCCATAAATTAACTTTTAAGAAGGCACACCTGTTAATTGAAATGCATTCAAGGTGACTACCTCATGAAGCTGGTTGAGAGAATGCCAAGAGTGTGCAAAGCTGTCATCAGGGCAAAAGGTGGCTATTTGAAGAATCTCAAATATAAAATATATTTTGATTTGTTTAACACTTTTTTGGTTACTACATGATTCCATATGTGTTATTTCATAGTTTTGATGTCTTTACTATTATTCTACAGTGTAGAAAATAGTAAAAATTAAGAAAAACCCTTGAATGAGTAGGTATGTCCAAACTTTTGACTGGTACTGTATGTGTTTATGTGTGTGAGTATGTGTGTATGCACATTGTGTGTTGGTTGTCTGTGTACAGCACAAGGACCCCATTGTTTATATGAGACATGAACACAGCCTAGGCATGGGTGTGTGTCTGTCTGTGGCGGGATAGAGGAAATGGAAGCTTCAATTGTCAAGTCAATCTTTCTTTATGAACAAGCAAATATGGAGTTGTATGTTTATTTGTTTCTCTGTTTGTTTGTGTTTCAGCACGGTGGATGAATGTCCTCCACAACAAAAGGTGAGAGGGAGGGAAGTGGGGTGAGGGTAGAAAGAGAAGATGGGGGAGAGAGGGAGGGAAGAGGGGCGAGGGTAGACAGAGAAGATGGAGGAGAGAAGAGGGGCGAGGGTAGACAGAGAAGATGGAGGAGAGAGGGAGGGAAGAGGGGCGAGGGTAGACAGAGAAATGAGTAGAGAGGGAGGGAAGAGGGGGATGGTAGACAGAGAAGATGGAGGAGAGAGGGAGGGAAGAGGGGCGAGGGTAGACAGAAGATGGAGGAGAGAGGGAGGGAAGAGGGGGAGGGTAGACAGAGAAGATGGGGGAGAGAGGGAGGGAAGAGGGCGAGGGTTAGAAAGAGGGGAGAAAGAGGGAGGGAAGAGGGCGAGGGTAGGACAGAGAAGATGGAGGAGAGAGGGAGGGAAGAGGGGCGAGGGTAGACAGAGAAGATGGAGGAGAGAGGGAGGGAGAGGGGCGAGGGTAGACAGAGAAGGAGGAGGAGAGGGGGGGAGGAAGGGGTTGGAGGGGGAGAGGGCGAGGGTTGACAGAGAAGATGGAGGAGGGGGGGGGGGAAAAAGAGGGGCGGGGGTGACAGAGAAGAGGGAAAAAAATAGGGGGGGAGGGAAAGGGGCGGGGGTTTTTAATTAGAAAAAAAGGGGAAAGAAAAGGGGGGGGGGGAAGAGGGGCAAAGGGTAAAAACGAGAAGATGAGGGGGGGGAAAGAGGGGGGGGTTTTGACAGAAAAGGGAAGAGGGGGGGAAAGGGGGGGTTTAGGGTAAAAGGGAAAAAAAGATGGAGGAGAGAGGGAGGGGGAAAGGGGGGGCGGGGTTTAGACGAAAAGAGGAGGAGAAAAGGGAAGGGGGCGGGGGAGGGGGCGGAGGGAAAAAAGAAGAGGGGGGGAGGGAAGAGGGGCGGGGGTAGACGAAAAGATGGGGGGAAGGGGGGGGGGAAACGGGGGGCGGGGGAAAACCCGGAAAGAGGGGGGGGGAAGAGGGGGGGAAGAGGGGGGAGGGTAGCCCGAGAAGATGGGGGAGGAGGGGGGAAGAGGGGGAGGGTAAAGGGAAAAGAAGATGGGGAGGGGAGGGGGGGGGGGGGGGGGTTAGACAGAAAGATGGGGGGAAAGAGGGGAGAGGGAGGGAAGGGGGGGCGAGGGTAACAGAGAAGAGGGAGGAAAAGGGAAAAGGGGGGGAAAGGGGCGAGGGAGAAAAGAGAAATGGGAGGGGAGAGGGAGGGAAAGAGGGGCGGGGGTTTAGACGAAGTGGAGGAGAGAGGGGGGAGGGGGGGGTGGGGGAAAAAAGATCTGTCCTCCCAAATTTAATTTTTAATGGTTTAATCCAACGGTTTTTTTCCCCCCCCTTCTACCCAAAAGCTTTTATCTTCCCCTTCCCCCCCCCTCTTTTTATCCTTCCCCCCATCCCTTCCCCCTCTCCATTTTCCCCATTTCTCCCCCCCACCCCTCTACCCCCCCTTTTTCCCTCTCGCTCCATCCCTTCATCCCTGTCCCCAAACCCCCCCCTCCCCACCCTTCACCCCCCCCTTCCTCTCTCTCCTTTCCCTTTTGTCCATCCCTTCATCCCTGCCCTCCATCCCCTCCCCATTCCTTCGCTCCACCCCTTTTTTTCATCCCGGGCTCCACTCCCCTCCATTCCTCTCGCTCCACCCTTCACCCCTGTTTTTCCTTTCTCCCCTCCTTTCCTTTTCCCCGTCCCTCCCCTTCCCTTTCCTTCAACCCTTTTCCCCCAAAATCTCCCCTCCTTCCTTTTCGCCCCCCATCCCTTCATCCCTGCCCCCAATCTCTCTCCATTCCCCCCGGCTCCATCCCTTCCCCCCTGTCTCCATCCTCTCCATTCCTCTCGCCCCAAATCCCTTTCCACCCCTTTTCCCCCACCTCCCCTCCATTTTCCCCTCCCTCTTTCCTCCCCCGCTCCTTTCCCCTTCATCCCTGTCCCCCTCTCTCTCCTTTCCCCCTTCCCCCTTTCTCCCCCCCTTTCCCATCCCTCAAACCCCTTTCTCTCCTTTCCCTCTCGCTCCATCCCTTCATCCCTGTCCCTCTCTCCCCTTTCCCTCCGCCCCAATCCCTTAAACCCCTGCTCCATCTCTTCCTTTCCTCTCGCTCCACCCCCTTCATCCCGGTCCCCACCCCTCCTTTCCTCTGCTCCACCCCTTCACCCCTGTCTCCATTTCCCCCCTTCCTTCGCTCCACCCCTTTCCTCCCTGTCTAAATTTCTCCTTTTCCTCTCCCCCATCCCTTCATTCCCTCCATTCCTCTCGCCCCCTTCCTTTAACCCCCTTTTCCCCATCCTCTCCTTCCCTTCCCCCTTTTCCAACCCCTTCATCCCGGTTCCATCTTTTCCCCCTTCCCCTTCGCCCCACCCTTGCATCGACCTGTCTCCATCTCTCTCCATTCCTCTGCTCTTTCCATCCGCTGCCTCCCTGGTTCTCCCATCTCTCTTCTCCATTCCTCCTCGTCATCCCCATCCCTTCATCCCTGTCTCCATCTCTCTCCATTCCTCTCGCTCCATCCCTTCATCCCTGTCTCCATCTCTCTCCATTCCTCTCGCTCCATCCCTTCATCCCTGTCTCCATCTCTCTCCAGAGTAAACCTATGTTCCAGCAGCGCAGTTTAAAAGAGAACAGTCTGCCGCTCCGCCCCCATCAGGTTGACACCAAGGAGGGTGAGAACACACACACAGACACGTGATGCCATGATTATCTGAGTATGTTTTATGATGTGTGTTAACGCTGTGTGTGTGTGTGTGTGTGTGTGTGTGTGTGTGTGTGTGTAAAGATGGCGCTGATCTTAACCTTTTTTGTACGTAATGTCTCAACCATAATTTTCTTTGAGGAGTTTATCACATCAGTCACCTGCTTCATTAATAAGTGCATCGACAACGTTGTCCCCACAGTGACCGTACGTACAGTGGGGAAAAAATGTATTTAGTCAGCCACCAATTGTGCAAGTTCTCCCACTTAAAAAGATGAGAGAGGCCTGTAATTTTCATCATAGGTACACGTCAACTATGACAGACAAAATGAGAAGAGAAAAATCCAGAAAATCACATTGTAGGATTTTTTATGAATTTATTTGCAAATTATGGTGGAAAATAAGTATTTGGTCAATAACAAATGTTTCTCAATACTTTGTTATATACCCTTTGTTGGCAATGACACAGGTCAAATGTTTTCTGTAAGTCTTCACAAGGTTTTCACACACTGGTATTTTGGCCCATTCCTCCATGCAGATCTCCTCTAGAGCAGTGATGTTTTGGGGCTGTCGCTGGGCAACACGGACTTTCAACTCCCTCCAAAGATTTTCTATGGGGTTGAGATCTGGAGACTGGCTAGGCCACTCCAGGACCTTGAAATGCTTCTTACGAAGCCACTTCTTCGTTGCCCGGGCGGTGTGTTTGGGATCATTGTCATGCTGAAAGACCCAGCCACGTTTCATCTTCAATGCCCTTGCTGATGGAAGGAGGTTTTCACTCCAAATCTCACGATACATGGCCCCATTCATTCTTTCCTTTACACGGATCAGTCGTCCTGGTCCCTTTGCAGAAAAACAGCCCTAAAGCATGATGTTTCCACCCCCATGCTTCACAGTAGGTATGGTGTTCTTTGGATTCAACTCAGCATTCTTTGTCCTCCAAATACGACGAGTTGAGTTTTTACCAAAAAGTTTCATCTGACCATATGACATTCTCCCAATCCTCTTCTGGATCATCCAAATGCACTCTAGCAAACTTCAGACGGGCCTGGACATGTACTGGCTTAAGCAGGGGGACACGTCTGGCACTGCAGGATTTGAGTCCCTGGCGGCGTAGTGTGTTACTGATGGTAGACTTTGTTACTTTGGTCCCAGCTCTCTGCAGGTCATTCACTAGGTCCCCCCGTGTGGTTCTGGGATTTTTGCTCACCGTTCTTGTGATCATTTTGACCCCACGGGTGAGATCTTGCGTGGAGCCCCAGATCGAGGGAGATTATCAGTGGTCTTGTATGTCTTCCATTTCCTAATAATTGCTCCCACAGTTGATTTCTTTAAACCAAGCTGCTTACCTATTGCAGATTCAGTCTTCCCAGCCTGGTGCAGGTCTACAATTTTGTTTCTGGTGTCCTTTGACATCTCTTTGGTCTTGGCCATAGTGGAGTTTGGAGTGTGACTGTTTGAGGTTGTGGACAGGTGTCTTTTATACTGATAACAAGTTCAAACAGGTGCCATTAATACAGGTAACGAGTGGAGGACAGAGGAGCCTCTTAAAGAAGAAGTTACAGGTCTGTGAGAGCCAGAAATCTTGCTTGTTTGTAGGTGACCAAATACTTATTTTCCACCATAATTTGCAAATAAATTCATAAAAAATCCTACAATGTGATTTTCTGGATTTCTTTACCTCAATTTGTCTGTCATAGTTGACGTGTACCTTTGATGAAAATTACAGGCCTCTCTCATCTTTTTAAGTGGGAGAACTTGCACAATTGGTGGCTGACTAAATACTTTTTTCCCCCACTGTACATATCCCAAACAGAAGCCATGGATTACAGGCAACATCCGCACTGAGCTAAAGGTTAGAGCTGCCGCTTTGAAGGAGCGGGACACTAATCCGGACGCTTATAAGAAATGCCGCTACGACCTTTAACGAGCCATCAAACAGGACTAAGATTGAATCCTAGTACGCCGGCTATGATGCTACCTACAGTACCAGTCAAAAGTTTGGACATACCTACTCATTCAAGGGTTTTTCTTTATTTTACTATTTTTTTACATTGTAGAAGAATAGTGAAGACATCAAAACTATGAAATAACACATATGGAATCATGTAGTAACCAAAAAAGTGTTAAACAAATCAAATTATATTTTATATTTGAGATTCTTCAAAAAAACACCCTTTGCCTTGATGACAGCTTTGCACACTCTTGGCACACTCTTGGCATTCTCTCAAACAGCTTCATAAGGTAGTCACCTCCATATTATGGCAAGAACAGCTCAAATAAGCAAAGAGAAACGACAGTCCATCATTAGACATGAAGGTCAGTCAATACAGAACATTTCAAGAACTTTGAAAGTTTATTCAAGTGCAGTCACAAAAATCATCAAGCGCTATGATGAAATGGGCTCATATGAGGACCACCACAGGAATGGAAGACCCAGATTTACCTCTGCTGCAGAGGATAAATTCATTAGAGTTACCAGCCTCAGAAATTGCAGCCCAAATAAATTCTTCACAGAGTTCAAGTCACAGACACATCTCAACATCAACTGTTCAGAGGGGACTGTATGAATCAGGCTTTCACTGTCAAATTGCTGTAAAGAAACCACTACTAAAGGACACCAATAAGAAGAAGAGACCAGCTTGGGCCAAGAAACACGAGCAATGGACATTAGACCGGTGGAAATTTGTACTTTGGTTTGCAGTCCAAATTTGAGATTTTTGGTTCCAACCGCCATGTCTTTGTGAGACGCGGTGTGGGTGAACGGATGATCTCTGCATGTGTAGTTCCCACCGTAAAGCATGGAGGAGGAGGTGTTATGGTGTGGGGGTGCTTTGCTGGTGACACTGTCTGTGATTTATTTAGAATTCAAGGCAGACTTAACCTGCATGGCTACCACAGAATTCTGCAGCGATACGCCATCCCATCTAGTTTGGGCTTAGTGGGACTATCATTTGTTTTTCAACAGGACAATGACCCAACACACCTCCAGGCTGAGTAAGGGCTATTTTACCAAGAAGGAGAGTGATGGAGTGCTGCATCAAATGACCTGGCCTCCACAATCCCCCGACCTCAACCCAATTGAGATGGTTTGGGATGAGTCGGCAGAGTGAAGGAAAAGCAGCCAACAAGTGCTCAGCATATGTGGGAACTCCTTCAAGACTGTTGGAAAAGCATTCCAGGTGAAGCTGGTTGAGAGCCCCCGCGATATGCAACTTTTCAGGGAAGTTAGGAACCAATATACACAAGCAGTCAGGAAAGCAAAGGCTAACTTTTTCAAACAGAAATTTGCATCCTGTAGCACTAACTCCAAAAAGTTTTGGGACACTGTAAAGTCCATGGAGAATAAGAGCACTTCCTCCCAGCTGCCCACTGCACTGAGGCTAGGAAACACTATCACCACCGATAAATCTACAATAATCGAGAATTTCAACAAGCATTTTGCTACAGCTGGCCATGCTTTCCATCTGGCTACCACTAACCCGGCCACCAACTCTGCACCCTCTGCTGCAACTTGCCCATGCCCCCCCCGCTTCTCCTTCACACAAATTCAGACAGCTGATGTTTTGAAAGCGCTGCAAAATCTGGACCCCTACAAATCAGCTGGGCTAGACAATCTGGACCCTTTCTTTCTAAAACTAGCCGCTGAAATTGTCGCTACCCCTATTACTAGTCTGTTCAACCTCTCTTTCATAACGTCTGAGATCCCCAGAGATTGGAAAGCTGCCGCGGTCATCCCCCTCTTCAAAGGGGGTGACACTCTAGATCCAAACTGCTACAGACCTATATCCATCCTGCCCTGCCTTTCGAAAGTATTCGAAAGCCAAGTTAACAAACAGATCATCGACCATTTCGAATACCACCGTACCTTCTCCGCTATGCAATCCGGTTTCCGAGCTGGTCACGGGTGCACCTCAGCCACGCTCAAGGTCCTAAACGATATTATAACCGCGATTGATAATAGACAGTACTGTGCAGCCGTCTTCATCGACCTGGCCAAGGCTTTCGACTCTGTCAACCACCGCATTCTTATTGGCAGACTAAATAGCCTTGGTTTCTCAAATGACTGCCTCGCCTGGTTCACCAACTACTTCTCAGATAGAGTTCAGTGTGTCAAATCGGAGGGCCTGTTGTCTGGACCTATGGCAGTCTCTATGGGGGTGCCACAGGGTTCAAATCTTGGGCCGACACTTTTCTCCGTGTATATCAATGATGTCGCTCTTGCTGCTGGTGACTCTCAGATCCACCTCTACGCAGACGACACCATTTTGTATACATCTGGCCCTTCATTGGACACTGTGTTAACAAACCTCCAAACGAGCTTCAATGCCATACAACAATCCTTCAGTAGCCTCCAACTGCTCTTAAACACTAGTAAAACTAAATGCATGCTTTTCAATCGAACGCTGCTGGCACCCGCCCACCCGACTAGAATCACCACTCTCGACGGGTCTGACCTAGAGTATGTGGACAACTACAAATACCTAGGTGTCTGGTTAGACTGTAAACTCAACTTCCAGACTCACATAAAGAATCTCCAATCCAAAGTTAAATCTAGAATCGGCTTCCTATTTCGCAATAAAGCCTCCTTCACTCATGCTGCCAAACATGCCCTCGTAAAACTGACTATCCTACCGATCCTTGACTTCGGCGATGTAATTTACAAAATAGCCTCCAACACTCTACTCAGCAAATTGGATGTAGTCTATCACAGTGCCATCCGTTTTGTCTCCAAAGCCCCATACACTACCCACCACTGTGACCTGTACGCTCTTGTTGGCTGGTCCTCACTACATGTTCGTCGTCAAACCCACTGGCTCCAGGCCATCTATAAATCACTGCTAGGCAAATCCCCGCCTTATCTTAGCTCATTGGTCACCATAGCAGCACCCACCCGTAGTCTGCGCTCCAGCAGGTATATCTCACTGGTCATTCCCAAAGCCAACACCTCCTTTGGCCGCCATTCCTTCCAGTTCTCTGCTGCCAATGACTGGAACGAATTGCAAAAATCTCTGAAGCTGGAGACTCTTATCTCCCTCAATAACTTTAAGCATCAGTTGTCAGAGCACCTTACCGATCACTGCACCTGTACACAGCCCATCCGAAATTAGCCCACCCAACTACCTCATCCCTATATTGTTATTTATTTTGCTCTTTTGCACCCCAGTATCTCTATTTGCACATAATCTCTTGCACATCTAGCATTCCAGTGTTAATACTATTGTAATTATTCTGCACTATAGCCTATTTATTGCCTTACCTCCATAACTTGCTACATTTGCACACACTGTATATATATTTTCTGTTGTATTTCTGACTTTATGTTTTTTTTTTTACCCCATATGTAACTCTGTGTTGTTTTTATTGCACTACTTTGCTTTATCTTGGCCAGGTCGCAGTTGTAAATGAGAACCTGTTCTCAACTGGCTTACCTGGTTAAATAAAGGTGAAATAAAAAATAAAAATAAAGAGTGTGCAAGCTGTCATCAAGGCAAAGGGTGGCTATTTGAAGAATCTCAAAAATAAAGTATATTTTGATTTGTTTAACAGTTTTTTGGTTACAACATGATTCCATATGTGTTATTTCATAGTTTTGATGTGTACATGAAGAAGGACAGAAATTCCACAAATTAACTTTTAACAAGGCACACCTGTTGATTTGAAATGCATTCCAGGTGACTACCTCATGAAGCTGGTTGAGTGAATGCCAAGACTGTGCAAAGCAGCTACTTCGAAGAATCTCAAAAATAAAATATATTTTGATTTGTTTAACACTTTTTTTGGTTACTACATGATTCCATATGTGTTATTTCATAGTTTTGATGTCTACACTATTATTCTACAATGTAGAAAATAGTAAAAAATTAAGAAAAGCCCTTGAATGAGTAGGTGTGTCCAAACTTTTGACTGGGACTGTATGTGTACACACAGTATCTGCCTCCATTACCTCGTACCCCTGTACTGTGTACCTCGTACCCCTGCACATCGACTCGGAAACAACACACAAAATACAAGTAAGAAAAAACAGGGGGGGAAAAAAAAAAAAAAAGGAAAAAGAAAAAAAAAAAAAAAAAAAAAAAACAAAAAAAAGAAAAAAAGGGAAAGCATGAAAGCAAAAAAAAGAAAAAAAAAAGAAAAAAAAGGGAAAAATGGAAAAAAAAAAAAGAAAAAAAAGGAAAAAAAAAGTAAAAAAAGGATAAAAAAGGCAAGTAAAAACAAAAAAAAAAAAAAAAAAAAAAAAAAAGGAAAGAAAAAAAAAAAAAAAGGCAAAAAAAAATAAGCGGATGAGAAAAGGAAAAAAAAAAAAAAAAAGAAAAGTGTTTGGAAAAGAAAAAAAAAAAAAACAAAAAAAAAAAAAAAAAAAAAAAAAAAAAAAAAAAAGTAGTAAAAAAAGGAAAAAAAAAAAAAAAAAAAAAAACAAAAGTAGAAAAAAAAAAAAAGGGGGGTGATTGGAAAACGGAGAAAAAGTAAAAAAGAAAAGTTGGAAAAAAAGTAGTACACAAAGAAGGGGGGAAAGAAAAAAAAAGGAAAAAAAAAAAAAAAAAGAAAGAAAAAATTGGAAAAAAAAAAAAAAAAAAAAAAGACTAAGCACCCCCAAATTCATACTTCTTGAATTAAATATAATTAAAAGGTAACTAATACCTTAATAGAAAATGACCTCACGGAAAAAAGTGAGAAATGGACATGAAAAAGTCACCAGAAAATACTAGTGAGTTAAAAGTCAAAAGTATTTGTTGAAAATATACTTAAGTATGAAAGTAAAAGTATAAAATCTTCAAAATTTCCTTATACCAAAGCAAACCAGATGGCGATGGAAAATGTTCTTGTTTTTTCATTTATGTATGGAACCAGGGGGGGGGGGGCACACTCCAACATCACGACCATCATTTTACAAACGAAAAATAAAAAAGCCTGTAAGAAAAAAAAAAGGCCTGGTGTGTTTAGTGAGTAGATTGAAGAGAGGTCCAACAGATCAGGGCAGTCAGTAGGGATTGACCCAGGGATGTTCTCTTGATTTAAGTGTGTGATAGCCATTATTAGCCAATTTTTCCTGTCCTGTAACCATCAAAAATGTAACGAGTACTTTTGGGTTTCAGGGAAAATTATGGAGTAAAAAAGTACATCATGTTTCGTTAGGAACTTGTGCTGAAGTAAAAGTAGTCAAAGATATAAATAGTAAAGTAACGTACAGATACCAAAAAAAAACACTTAGTAGTCTTTCAAGTATTTTACTCTTAAAGATTTACACCACTGCTCCAAATGGTACTCCCTGTATATAGCCATGTTATTCGTCATTCACATGTTTTTGTATTTATTCATCGTCACTAGTCTATTTTTTATTTACATCATTGGATCTTTAACTCGTTTGCATTGTTTGGAGAAACAGGACTGCCTTCGTAAGGGGGAAGCAATTGCTATGTTAGTCTACACTGTGGTTTCGAAGCATTGTGTGAGAATTAACATACATTGATTTGTGAGTTGTGTGTTCCAGTGCTTGTGTCGTGTTGGATGTGAGTGCAGGACTGACCTGTGTGTTCACAAAACACTCTTTGATGAGTTTGAGTGTCTCAGAGCTTCTTGCTGAGGATTTGGCTGGAGGAATTTTAGGTTTGTGGGTCAGACAGAAGAATGCGGAACCGACCAGAGGAGGGACATGGTGCTGGTGAAACACACACACACTGGAGGGTGTAAATAACACACACAATGGAGTATACACACCACACCACACAAACACCCACCACACACACACACACAAACCACCCACACACTTGGGAGGTACACATACACTATTTATGACAGGTGTTTTTTCTCGCGGCACGTGAAGCGGGCAGAGCCACAAGAAGGAAGACGAGCGAGAGAAAACAGTAAGCGAGAGACAACCAAAAAAAGGGGGGGGAGAGTAGGGAGAGAACGCGCGCGAAACGGGAAGAGAGAGAGAGAGAGCGAGACGCGAGAGCGCGAGCGATCGAGCGATCGAGCGGAGCGAAAAAGGAAGCAGGCGAACAGGGAGAAGCGAAAAAAAGGGAAAAGGGAGAGAGGAAAGAGAGAAGGGCAAGTAAGAGAGAGAGAGAAAAAGGAAGACGAGAGAGAGAAAAGAGAGAAGGAGAGAGAAAAAGGGAGAGAAGAAGAGAAAAAGGGAAGAGAGAGAAAAGGGAGAGGAGAGGTCGATGAGAGAAAACAGGCCGGGAAGCAGGAGGAAAAAAGAAGGAAGAGAGGAACAAGGGAGAAGAGAGAGAGAAAAAGGGGGAGAGAGAGAGAGAAAAGAGGAAGAGGGCGCGGAGCCCATCACCGCGCGCGCGAGCGCGCCGAGCGAGAGAGAGCGCAGCGAGCAAGGGACGCAGAGAGGGACAACGGAGCGAGAGAGCGAAAAACGGGGAAGAGAGAGAGAGAGAAAGCGAAGAGAGAGAGCGAAAAAGGGCGAGAGGAGAGAGAGATAGTCCGAGCAAGGAAGAGAGGGAAAACGGAAGAGAGATAGAGACAAAATGTAAGAGAGAGAAAAAGGAATCGAGAGAGCGAAAAAGAGAGGGAGAGGGCGAGCGTCTAGAGAACAGGCGAAGATATCTATAGCGCGCTCACCTTACTCTCTCTGTCTGTCCCCATTACTCTCTCTCTCGCTCTCCCCCTTACTCTCTCTCTCTCTCTCCCCCTTACTCTGTCTCTGTCCCCCTGTAGAGAGGAGGGTGTTACAGGCTGGTCAGTGTGTGTATTCTGAGACTCTGACGCCACAGAGCAAACTGATGGTCTGTCAGAGGGACCTCACACATATTATGGTAATTTACATCCAGATTACGGTTATGACGTTTATGGTAATTTACATCCAGATTACGGTTATGACGTTTATGGTAATTTACTGACAAATAGTATTTATTTCCTAAAGAAACACTTGATTTAGCTTACCTGGGGGTTGCTGTGTGGGTAGGGGTTGCACTTCTGGGACTACTTAATCAAACGCAACCGAAGTATAAGAAAAACAACAAACATGAACTTACTCTTAACATACAGTTGTGTGTGTATGTGTGTGTGTGTGTGCGTGTGTGTGTGTGTGTGTGTGTGTGTGTGTGTGTGTGTGTGTGTGTGTGTGTGTGTGTGTGTGTGTGTGTGTGTGTGTGTGTGTGTGTGTGTGTGTGTGTGTGTGTGTGTGTGTGTGTGGTGTGTGTGTGCGCGTGCGCGTGCGTGTGCGCGCAGGCCCCTCTAACAGACAGTGAGCTGAGTAGGAGAACAGTGAGGCTGCTGGGTATCAACACCTGGGATATGGCTGCTGCTCTTACACAACTTGACTGGAACCTCTTCAACTACATACACGAGGTAACACACACAAACTCACACACACACACACTGGAGGCGCTTTACTACACACACACACAATACTCTATTCCCCCCCCCCCCCAGCAGGAGTTGGTGTATTCCACAATGAGCTGTAGTACCGGAGACAGCCACCGGGAGGGGCTGTCTGTATTACTGCAGCGCTGTAACGAGGTCCAGCAGTGGGTCATGTCTGAGGTCCTGATGTGTGTGTCGCTCAACAAACGAGTCCAGCTGCTCAAGAAGTTCATCAAGATCGCAGCGCAGTAAGAGAACACACACACACACTTCAGACACTCACACACAGAATCAAACACACACACTTTAGATACACTCTCTAACACACACACACACACACACACACACACAGACAGACACACACAGTCTTGTACAGCTGACCTTGTGGGGACACACAACTCAGTCCCATTCAAAATCCTATTTTCCCTAACCCCTAACCCTAAACCTAACCCCTAACCCGTACTCTTACCCTAACCCTAACCCTAACCTTAACCCAAAAACCTAACCTTAACCCTAACCCTAAACCTAACCCCAGCTCCTAACCCTAAAACTAACCCTAGATCCTAACCCTAACCCGTAACGTAATTCTAACCCTAACACTAATTCTAACCTTAACCCTAAACCCCCTAGAAATAGCATTTGACCTTGTGGGGACTAACAAAATGTCCCCAGTTGGTCAAATTTCTGTTTGTTTACTATTCTCGTGGGGACTTCTGGTCCCCACAAGAATAGTTAAACACATCCACACACGCACACATATACACAGACACACACGGACACACACAGACACACACACAAACACTTAAAGTACCTTCAGAAAGTTTTCACACCCCTTGACTTTTTCCACATTTTGTTGCGTTACAACCTGAATTTAAAATTTAAAATAGCTGCCTGGTGGCTTTTCAGCAGCCTGATGGTCTGGGGGTAAATGCTATTGCCCAGTCTGACAGTTTTTGCCATGATACTCCTATACTTCTGAGTGATGGAAGAGAGGAGAACAGGTCATGGCTCGGGTGGCTGAGGTCCTTGATGATCTTCTTGGCCTTCCTGCGACACCTGGTGTTGTAGGTGTCCTGGAGGGCAGGCAGTGAGCACCCGATGGTGCATTCGGCTGAGCGTACCACCCTGTGTAGAGCCTTGCGGTCAGCGGCGGTGGAGTTGCCGTACCAGGCCGTGAAGCACCCCGACAGTATGCTCTCGATGGTGCTCCTGTAGAACACTGTGCCCTCGGGGCATCTTGACGTTTTTGAACGTCTCCATGGCGGCCCGTTGATGATGATGATGGGGGCGTGACCAGCCTGGTTCCTCCTGAAGTCCACAATCAGCTCCTTTGTTTTGCTGACGTTGAGGGAGAGGTTGTTTACCTGGCACCATGCCGTCAGACTGCCTACATCCTCTCTGTAGGCCGTCTCATCGTTGTTGGTAATCAGGCCTTCTACTGTCGCGTCGTCAGCGAACTTGATGATGGAGTTGGAACTGTGTGAAGCCACCCAGTCGTCGGTATACAATGGGGGACTGAGGACGCACCCTTGTGGGGCTCCGTGTTGAGTATCAGTGTGGAGGAGTTAATGTTGCCTACCTCCACCACCTGGGGGCGTGCCGCCAGGAAGTCCAGGACCCAGTCGCATAGGGAGTAGTTCAATCCCAGGGTCGCAACCTTTTGATGAGCTTAGAGGGCACTATGGTATTGAAGGCCAATCTGTAGTCGATGAACAGCATCCTCACATATGCATTCCTTTTGTCCAGGTGGGTGAGGGCAGCGTGCAGTGCAATGGCGATTGCGTCATCCGTGGATCTGTCAGGGCGGTAGGCGAATTGGAGAGGGTGGAGTGTGTCGGGGAAGGAGGAGGTGATGTGGTGTTTGACTAGCCTCTCGAAGCGCTTCATGATGACGGAAGTGAGTGCTACGGGTCGGTAGTCATTCAGTTCAGTTACTTTCACCATACTAACCTAAATGACAGAGTGAAAAGAAGGAAGCCTGTACAGAATAAAAGTATTCCATGCACCTGTTTGCAATAAGGCACTAAAAATAAAATGTGGCAAAGAAATTTACTTTATGTCCTGAATAAAAAGCGTTAAGTTTGGGGCAAATCCAACACAACACATCACTGAGTACCAATCGTCATATTTTCAAGCATGGTGGTGGCTGCAGGATGTTATGGGTATGCTTGTAATAGTTAAGGACTAGGGAGTTTTCCAGGAAAAATAAAATAAACTGAATGGAGCTAAGCACAGGCAAAATCCTAGAGGAAACCTGGTTCAGTCTGCTTTCCAACAGACACTGGGAGACAAATTAACCTTTCAGCAGGACAATAACCTAAAACATAGGCCAAATAAACACTGGAGTTGCTTACCAAGGCGACATTGAATTTTCTTGAGTGGCCTACTTACAATTTTGACTGAAATTGGTTTGAAAATCTATGGCAAGACTTGAAAACTTAGGGTGGGGGAAATGGTGTTTGGCCAGATACAATGCTATTTTACATTAAATAAATTAACAACAGATTTTCAGCATGCTTATAGGAAGGGCATTCAACACGCACGGCACTTCCACAAAAGACTGATGATTGGCTGAGAGAAATTGATAGGCAAAACAGCTCCCACAACCTTTTTATTAACAGAACACAGAGGGTGTTCTTTAATGGAAGCCTCTCCAACATAATCCAGGTAGAATCAGGAATTCCCCAGGGCAGCTTTACTAATGACCTGCCACTGGCTCTGAGTAAAGCCTGTGTGTCTAAGTATGCAGATGACTCAACACTATACACGTCAGCTACTACAGCGAGTGAAATCACTGCAATACTTAACAAAGACCTGCAGTCAGTTTCAGAATGTGTGGCAAGAAATATTTTAAAAAAAAAACTAAAAGCATTGTATTTGGGACAAATCATTCACTAAACCCTAAACCTAAAATAAATATTGTAATGAATGATGTGGAAATTGAGCAAGTTGAGGAGACTAAACTGCTTGGAGTAAACCTGGACTGTAAACTGTTATGGTCAAAACATATTGATGCAACAGCAGCTAAGATGGGGAGAGGTCTATCCATAATAAAGCGCAGCTCTGCCTTCTTAACAACAATATCAAAAAGGCAGGTCCTACAGGCCCTAGTTTTGTCGCACCTGGACTACTGCCCAGTCGTGTGGTCAGGTGCCACAAATAGGGACATTACAACTGGCCCAGAACAGGGCAGCACGGCTGGCCCTTAAATGTACACGTAGAGCTAACATTAATATGTCAATCTCTCATGGCTCAAAGTAGAAGAGAGATTGACTTCATCACTACTTGTTTTTGTAAGAAGTGTTGACAAGCTGAATGCACCGAGGTGTCTGTTTTTAAACTACTAGCACACAGCTCGGACACCCATGCATACCCCACAAGACATGCCACCAGAGGTCTCTTCACAGACCCCAAGTCCAGAACAGACTATAGGAGCCTCACAGTACTACATAGAGCCATGGCTCCACATCAAGTAACTCACGCAAGTAGTAAAATCAGATTTAAAAGCGTATAAAAAATACACCTTATGGAACAGTGAGGACTGTGAAGAGTCATACACACAGGTACAAACACACACATACAAACACACATAACATACACACTATACACACACACATACACCTGGATTGTGTGTTGTAGTAGAGTAGTGTGAAATCTGTTGTAAAATGTATTTTAATGTTCATAAGTCATAATTGTACTATAATGTATGTTACTGCCTTAATTTTTGCTGGACCCCAAGGAAGAGTAGATGCTGCCTTGGCAGCAGCTAATGAGGATCTATAATAAATACAAATACAAAATGGCTGTCTAGCAATGATCAACACCAAACTTGACAGAGCTTGAAGAATTTTTAAACGAATAATGTGCAAATATTGTACAATCCAGGTGTGCAAAGCTCTTAGAGATTTACCCAGAAAGACTCATCCAAAGTTGATTCTAACTTATTGATTCAGGGGTGTGAATACTTATGTAAATGATATATATCTGTATTTCATTTTCATTAAATTAGCAAACATTTCTAAAAACATGTTTTCATTTTGTCTATGGGGTATTGTGTGTAGATGGGTGAAAAAATACATATTTAATCCATTTTAGAATTCAGGCTGTAACAACAACAACAACAACAACAACAAAATATGGAAAAATATGAATACTTTGTGAAGGCACTGTATAATTCCTGTTTTGTGTTGTTCAGTTGTAAGGCCCAGAGGAACCTGAACTCAGCATTTGCCATCATCATGGGACTCAACACTGCAGCCGTCAGCAGACTCAATATAACCTGGGAGGTAAGGGAGAGTGTGTGTGTACGTACGTGTGTGTGTGTGTGTGTGTGTGTGTGTGTGTGTGTGTGTGTGTGTGTGTGTGTGTGTGTGTGTGTGTGTGTGTGTGTGTGTGTGTGTGTACGTGTGTGTGTGTGTGTGTGTGTGTGTGTGTGTGTGTGTGTGTGTGTGTGTGTACGTGTGTGTGTGTGTGTGTGTACGTGTGTGTGTGTGTGTGTGTACGTGTGTGTGTGTGTGTGTGTACGTGTGTGTGTGTGTGTGTGTGTGTGTGTGTGTACGTGTGTGTGTACGTGTGTACTATGACAGTTCTGACGGTGTGTATCTGTTCTCTCCTTTTACTTTCAGAAAGTTCCGGGGAAATTCAAGAAGATCTTCTCTGAACTGGAGTTGATCACAGTAAGACTCATTCTCATTGGTTTAAAGTAATATTCTTCATGATTGGTTGATAAGCTGGTGGAAAATACTTAAGAAGACTTAACAAATTAATTAACAAATGTCAAGGCTGTTGGCATAACAGCCTCTCAGTTCAAATCCACATTACCCTAAGCCTAACCTCTGACCTCTAACCCCTAACCTTACCCTGACTCCTAACCCTAACCTCTCCTCACTCTCTCCAGGACCCGTCTCTGAACCATAAGGCCTACAGAGATGCCTTCAAGAAGATGAAACCTCCTAAGATCCCCTTCATGCCCCTGCTGTTGAAAGACATCACCTTTATCCACGAGGGAAACAAAACCTTTCACGACAACCTGGTCAACTTCCAGAAACTGGTGAGGCAGTTTACTTCCCCTTGTCAGTTCCCTCCCTCTGTATTATGTTCCACCATTGGGTTGAGGGCAATGCTACCAGTTAAATAAAAGCCTAATTGTAATCATACTGTTAAGACTTTGAATTCCCGAGCCAACTCTGTGAAAAATCTGTCGATGTGCCCTTGAGCAAGGCACTTAACCCTAATTGCTCCTGTAAGTCGCTCTGGATAAGAGCATCTGCTAAGTGACTAAAATGTAAAAATGTAATGTGTGTGAACGTTTATCTGTCTGTGTGTTATAACCGTTACCCTGGTGACTGACTCTTGTATTCCCCGCCCCCTCAGCACATGATCGCCGACATAGTGCGTCTGATTCGCCACTGCCAAAGCGACCAACTGGGTATGTTGTGTGTGTGTGTGACTGTGTGAGTGTGTGTGTGTGTGTGTGTGTGTGTGTGTTAATATATACTTGATCTGTGTATCTGTCTGTCTCCTAGGTAACGAGGTGGTGGGCAGCGACAGTCCGGAGGTCAGGGCGAGTGTTCACTACCTCCACATCATCGACAATCAACAGACACTCTTCCAACTGTCACACAAACTGGAGCCACGCGCCTGAACACACACACACACACACACACACACACACACACACTCCTAGAGGAACCGTTAACCTCCACAGAACCACAGAAAATACACTTCCTGTGTCGAAGGTGCCATGCGAGCCACTGTCTCTCAGCCAATCACAGTTCAGCATCCTGATACAGCCAGCCAACCACAGTTCAGAAGACTGATTCAGCCAGCCAACCACAGAGCTGCACACTGAGGCGGCGTTCAGACTGAAAATAAATATCTGCCAAAACCTAATTCAGATAGTTTTTCTACGAGGGTCGATCTTTGACCGACGACAAAGACTTTGAAGAAGACAGGCGGCCCATTCGTTATTGTTCTGTCGTGGATACAGTTTTTAAGCTACTCTCCAGCTACTCAGACTGCGTGCCGTTCTGTTTCTGCTCTGAAGTTAACAGTCAGTTTCACTGTATTGATGATCCTCAGTAGGAGAAACAGTCATGTGACTGCAGATAGTTATGGATGGTATAAATGTACAGTATATTTAGACGGTATAGACATAAAGTAGATGTATACTGTATGTGTTCAGGCCACATGGTGAGCCTCTGCCAAATGCCCAGATGGGAAAGAGATGCCATATACAGATATATAAACACACGCAAACAGCTTTTCACATGTATCCATAGTAACAACAAAGCCTGGTCCTGCCATACCACAAAAGGTCATAATATTACACATTGTTATTAGACGTTATAACATGGTATTATAGAGATAGTTATTACATTGTTATTACACTTTTACTGACTGAAGAGATTGTTCTGTTGTTTCAATGCCTTTTACACACAGATTTCACTAAGCAACAAGGCCTGGGTTCAAACCCAGTCAATGCATTCTACACCGATCTAGTACATCACGGTTGAGGCTTGGTGTATTCACACTGACTGATCTAGTACATGCACATCTATCTACACTGACTGATCTAGTACATGCACATCTATCTACACTGACTGATCTAGTACATGCACATCTATCTACACTGACTGATCTAGTACATGCACATCTATCTACACTGACTGATCTAGTACATGCACATCTATCTACAGTGTCCAGGTGTGTAGGAGCAGGGCAGCACTGCTATATGACTATGTATTGTAATATTTAGATTATTTATGTTTCTCTAAAGGAGACAGAATGTGACGGTCCTGTGTGCCATATGAGACGGCAGCTGTATAAAGACAATAATACAACCGTAAAGATAAACAGGGTAATGCTCAGATGTGTAAAGATAGTGAACTGTGTATAAAAAGGTTTGACGTTGGAGCTGAAATGCTGGAATGTTTAAAACAGGAGACGAGGGAATGGAGGTGGTCCAATTATTGTTACTGTCCCGTGTGATGTCAAAAATACCAATGAAAAGGAGAGTTTTGTTGTTGTTTTTCTTGCCATTGTCATGACTATGTAAAGTTCTGTTTTAAAGAATGTTTTTGTGTTTGCATGACGTGACGACCCCACCAGATCACAATGCAAGATGACAGATCTTATTCTCTATATAATACATTACTTTTGACCAGAACCCATGTGGCCCTGGTTAGAAATAGTGTACTATATAAGCCAGGGAGTAGTTTTGCTATAAGGATTTATACTACTGTAATATTGTTGACTTGTAATGTTATTACTATAATGCAGGGTTTCCCAACAGTTTCCTCGGGCCACACAGACGTTTCACATTTTTGTTTTAACCCTAAACTGCCAGCCTGATTCAGTTAGTCAGCCAATCATCAAGCCTTTAACTAATTGAATCAGGTGTGCCAGTTTAGGGTTAAAACAAAAATGTGAAACGTCTGTTGGAGGCCCGTGGAGAGGGTTGGGAAAACCCTGCTATAATGTTATTATTATTTTATTATGATGTTTGAGATGTTATTATCTATGTTTAAAAGTAGACTCCACAATATGACATCATAAAGAGCGGGGCGACTGCTTATAGCAACATCATCAATAGAATTCAACGCTGCCACGATTGGCTCTGCAACTATTGTCTCCAACTTGTGCCCTCCCTTGAGGAGATTTGAATTATTTTGTTGTTTTTGTTGTTGTTATTGTTTCTGTTTCCTGCTGTATGTGATGTCATATTGCTTAGTGTACTTTTAAAGAAAAGAGAAACACAGAGCAATATGCCCCCTCCCTAACTGCTGAAGCCACACCTCTTTTCAAAAGAGCATTTTACTACATAGAAGTTTTACTGGAGATTGAATAAATTATAGGTTTTATGGCATATTAAAACTTGTGTCCCTGGTCACTGTCTCTGTGAATATATGAGAGAGGAAGAGGATAGAAAAATAGTGGGAGGGAGGAGTGGGGGAAGAGGATAAGGAGGGAGGAGTGGGTGGATGAGGAGGTGACATTCAGTCCCAGGGTCTTATTTAGCAAGAGGTGACATTACCGCCATCGCCTCCCTGTGCATGCATTACAAACCCTGTAATGTATCTGTCAATGGACGACAAGTCTTTAGCTCAGCTGGCTAATTGGTCGTGGTGGGCGTGGAGAAAGGGAGTGTGACAAGAGGGGAGAGAGAGTGCAGCTTCTGCACTATGGAATAACATTTTCTAAATCAGATTATGTTCCCTTTCACTTTTAAAAAGAAACTGAAAGGCAATTATACCAAACATCATCATGAGATAATAAATATGTGTTGTAGCATGACAGAGATTTGTTCAATGTAGTCTTAATGTACGCTAATCCAAAAGCAATTAGGCGCCAAATGTTTCTGGATACAACTTTGCTACAATCATGTACTGTCTTTGATATTACTTAATTGTTGCAGTACAGCAGTTACATTGTTCGTTACAAGCACAGAACGTAAAAAATTAATAAAATAAAAAGCTTGGACAGTGTGGTCACAGATGGAACAATGAGCAATGACAATGGGTTAGTTATAAAAAACATATTTGGTGTGGTTCTGTCAGGCCCACATGGTATTTTTGCCGCGAAACTGGGAAGAGGGCGGGACTCGGACTGTTCCATTGTGTATCCGGGGGAGGTAGAAAGAGATTTAGAGCATAAACTCTTTGTAATCATAATACAACTCAATTCACTCTCACTATCGTTTTCTAACGACTTCTATATACAATACAAGTATTTCCCGGCTCACAAAATGAAGTTATCAAGCCTGGAAACATATTTTAACTAAACTCGAAACTGAACTACTCCCCTGCTTTTTGAGACAAGTACGTGAACTCGTGTTGTTTTTTAAAACCATTCATTCATTCATTGATTTTTTTGAGTGAACTGCATAACTTCTGAGAGAAAGAAAACCCGTCTCTCAAACGAGTTAAAATGCCGTTATCAACAAAGGTAAGCTAGGTTTAACAGTTGCAACTTTTATATCGTCCCGTTTAGCTATACACATGTCTTGGTGGTATAGTCCAGTCCAGGGTCCGAAGAAGGCCATTTGCTCCACTTGGGACAAAAACGAAGGAATAGTCTAAATCAAGTCATTAAATGTCCAGGTGCGAATTTCATAAAAGTAAGTAATGATAGCCTGTATCATAGCTAGATATCAGTGCTACAGTATTTGAATGTGAAAATGGCATAGGAATACATTTGGTCCATTGTTTACCCTTTGTTAGTTAGCCACTGTTTTATTCACACTACTACGCCGAGCTGCTTTGTAATGGCCTGGTCACCTGTCCATCATCAGGCTACTTTCTGGAAAGGACAATGTTAAAAGGAAGTCAGAACCAGTACTGTATGGCAGTGCTCTGTACGCCAGTGTGAAAAGGGTATTATATATATATATATATATATATATATATATATATGAGTGTCGCTTTATCACCGAGGGGAAACTATAGGATATTTTATAGGGAGTTAATTTGAAGTATCTTTGGCTTTAAAGCGTCAATAAGCAGTTCAAACAATAAAGCTTACTCTCTGCCCGTGTTTCGGTAAAAAGCTGAGGGGTGGGGCTGGAGAAAGTGAACCACTCTCAAATTCATAGACAGAACTATGATGCAAGGACTTAATATCCATGCCAGTGATGGAGTCAAGTCCTTAGTGTTCCAGTCCGAGTCCTTTATACTCGAGTCACGAGTCCCTTGGTAGTGCTAAAAGATGCGGTCCAACCATTTTTAAAGCTACATTTCATTACGCTGTTGCACATTTGTAAGGCTAAATAGATAATACAGCTATCTAACATTTTGCTGTTGTAGCTAGTATGTTGAACTATGCATAAGAGAGATTTTCTGACAACAGTCACAACTGGAGAGAGTCCAAGTCACCACTGGTCAAATATCAAATGAAATTGTATTCGTCACATGCTTCGTAAACAATAGACTAACAGTGAAATGCTTACTTACAGGCCCTTCCCAACAATGCAGAGACAAATAAAATAGAGAAATAATAGAAAAGTAAAACAAGTAATAATAAATACACAATGAGTAACGATAACTTGGCTATATACACCGAGTCGATGTGCAGGGGTACGAGGTAATTAAAGTAGATATGTACATAACTAGGAATAAAGTGACATATAATAAACAGTAGCAGCAGTGTATGTGATGAGACAAAACTTAGTGCAAAAAGGGTCCGTGCAGATAGTCCGGGTAGCTATTTGGTTACCTACAGTATTTAACTGACTATTTAGCAGTCTTATGGCTTGGGGGTAGAAGCTGTTCAGGGTCCTTTTGGTTCCAGACTTGGTACATTTGTATCGCTTGCCGTGCAGGAGCAGAGAGAACAGTCTATGACTTGGGTGGCTGGAGTCTTATACAATTTTTAGGGCCTTCCTCTGACACCGCCTGGTATAGAGGTCCTGGATGGCAGGGAGCTTGGCCCCAGTGATATACTGGGCTGTACGCACTACCCTCTGTAGTGCCTTGCGGTCGGATGCCAAGCAGTTGCCATACCAGGCGGGGATGCAACCAGTCAAGATGCTCTCAATGGTGCAGCTGTATAACTTTTTGAGGATCTGAGGGCCCATGCCAAATCTTTTCAGTCTCCTGAGGGGGAAGAGGCGTTGTCATGCCCTCTTCATGACTGTTCGTGTGTGTGGACCATGATAGATCCTTAGTGATGTGGACACCGAGGAAGTTGAAGCTCTCGACCCGCTCCACTAGAGCCCTGTCGATGTGAATGGGGAAGTGCTCTGCCCCCCGTTTCTTGTAGTCCACGATCGGCTCCTTTGTCTTGCTGACGTTGAAGGAGAAGTTGTTGTTCTGGCACCACACTGCCAGGTCTCTGACCTCCCTATAGGCTGTCTCATCATCGTCTGTGATCAGGCCTACCACCGCCATTTCATCATCAAACATAATGATGGTGTTGGAGTAGTGCGCGGCCATGCAGTCGTGTGTGAACAGGGTGTACAGGAGGGGACTAAGCACTCACCCCTGAGGGGCCCCCGTGTTGAGGGTGAGCGTGGGAGATGTGTTGTTGCCTACCCTTACCACCTGGGGGCGGCCCGTCAGGAAGTCCAGGATCCAGTTGCAGAGGGAGGTATTCAGTCCGAGGGTCCTTAGCTTAGTGATGCACTTGGAGGGCACTATGATGTTGAATACTGAGCTGTAGTCAATGAACAGCATTCTCACATAGGTGATCCTCTTGTCCAGGTGGGAAAGGGCAGTGTGGAGTGCAATGGAGATTGTGTCATCTTTGGATCTGTTGGGGTGGTATGCAAATTGGAGTGGGTCCAGGGTGTCTGGGATGATGGTGTTGATATGAGCCATGACCAGCCTTTCAAAGCATTTCATGGCTACAGATGTGGGTGCTACGGGGTGATAGTCATTTAGACAGGTTACCTTGGCGTTCTTAGGCATAGGGACTATGGTGGTCTGCTTGAAACATGTAGGTATTACATACTAGGTCAGGGAGAGGTTGAAAATGTCAGTGAAGACACTTGTCAACGCATGCTCTGAGAACGCATCCTGGTAATCCGTCTGGCCCTGCAGCCTTGTGATTGTTAACCTGTTTATGGAGAGAGTGCTCACACAGTTGTCCGGAACAGCTGGTGCTCTCATGCATGATTCAGTGTTGCTTGCCGCGACGCGAACATTGAAGGCATTTAGCTCATCTGGTAGGCTCGCGTCATAGGGCAGCTCGTGGCTGGGTTTCCCTTTGTAATCCATTATAGTTTGAAAGTCCTGCCACATCCGACGAGCGTCAGAGCCAGTGTAGTAGGATTTGATCTTAGTCCTTTATTGACACTTTGCCTGTTTGATGTTTCGTCGGGGGATGTAGCGAGATTTCTTATAAGCATCCAGATTGGTGTCCCACTCCTTGAAAGTGGCAGCTCTAGCCTTTAGCTCAGTGCGGATGTTGCCTGTAATCCATGGCTTCTGGTTGGGATATGTACGTACGGTCACTGTGGGGACGACGTCGTCGATGCACTTAATAATGAAGCCGTTGACTGATGTGGTAAACTCCTCAATTCCATTGGATGAATCCCGGAACATATTCCAGTCTGCGCTATAGAAACAGTCCAGTAGCTTAGCATCCGCTTCATCGGATCACTTCCGTATTGAGCGCGTCACTGGTACTTCCTGTTTGAGTTATTGCTGGTAAGCTGGAATCGGGAGGATAGTCCGAGTGGAGTCACGAGTCACTTGAGTCAAGTCCGAGTCCTGGACTCGAGTATTACAACACTGATCCATGCCATCACAATTATAGTTTTAACCATGTTTTGAGGCTATACACTGAGTGTAAAGAACAGTAAGGACCCCCCCCCAACAACCCCCCCCCCCCCCCCCCCTCAGAACAGTCTCAATTCATCAGAGCATGGACCCTACATGGTGTAGAAAGCATGCTGGCCCATGTTGACTCCAATGCTTCCCATAGTTGTCAAGTTGGATGGATATCATTTGGGTGGTGGACCATTCTTGATACACACGGAAAACTGTTGCGTGTGAAAAACTCGGCAGCGTTGCAATTCTTGACACAAACCGGTGCGCCTGGCACCTACTACCATATCCCGTTCAAAGGCACTTAAATATTTTGTCACCATCTGAATGGCACAAATACACAAGCCATGTCTCAAGGCAAAAAAAAAGTCCTCCCCTTCATTTACACTGATTTGAAGTGGATTTATCAAGTGATGTCAATAAGGGATCATAGCTTTCTCTCTGGATTCACCGTCTGTGTCATGGAAAGAGCAGGTGTTCTTAATGTTTTGTACATTCTGTGTATAGTGTTTGTTTACATTTACATTGTTTACAAACATTGAAGTAAAACAAGCTTATATTTGGGGTTCTGAATGGGTAGGACAGTTAAACTAAGCTCATGAAGCATTTATAAGTTATATTCTTTAAGAATCAATGGGTACATATCATTAATAAAACAATTCCAAAAATGGATGTATCAAATGCAGATTGCCCCTTTAATCTGTTGTTGCCCCTCCTCCCCCAGACCCCCAGGGCCCTGGCGGCCATCTTTGAGAGTCCCAGTGATGACGAGGACTTCCTGGGTTTCGCCGTGCCAGTGCTGAGTGACAGTGAGTCAGACAGCCTAGCCTCTGAGGACTCTGGGAAGCCGGTAGGTAGCTGCCAACCATTACCAGACACACACACTGCTATCCTTGTTTCTTTATTCTGTTACAGTTAGCTATTGAAATAATCCATCCATCTCTCTCTCTCTTCAGGCAATGTCTTTCAGGTCAAAGTTTGTGACCTCTGAGTTGGTTAGTCTGTTTAGCCATTCAGACAATGAAGGGGAGGAGTTTGAGGGCTTCGGTGAGGAAGAGAAGAGGGGGTCCAGAAGCAGGACGAAGGCTATGGTGCTGAGACCTAACTTGTTCTCCTGTTCTCTCTCTCCTCTCCTGTTGTCTCTCTCTCTCTCTCCTCTCCTGTTGTCTCTCTCTCTCTCTTGTCTCCTGTTCTCTCTCTTGTCTCCTGTTCTCTCTCTTGTCTCCTGTTCTCTCTCTTGTCTCCTGTTCTCTCTCTCTTGTCTCCTGTTCTCTCTCTCTTGTCTCCTGTTCTCTCTCTCTTGTCTCCTGTTCTCTCTCTCGTCTCCTGTTCTCTCTCTCGTCTCCTGTTCTCTCTCTCCTCTCCTGTTGTCTCTTGTTGTCTCCTGTTGTCTCTCTCGTCTCCTGTTGTCTCTCTCTCTCGTCTCCTGTTCTCTCTCTCGTCTCCTGTTCTCTCTCTCGTCTCCTGTTCTCTCTCTCCTCTCCTGTTGTCTCTCTCTCTCGTCTCCTGTTCTCTCTCTCGTCTCCTGTTCTCTCTCTCGTCTCCTGTTCTCTCTCTCCTCTCCTGTTGTCTCTCTCGTCTTCCCTGTTGTCTCTCTCGTCTCCTGTTGTTCTCTCGTCTCCTGTTGTCTCTCTCGTCTCCTGTTGTCTCTCTCGTCTCCTGTTGTCTCTCTCGTCTCCTGTTGTCTCTCTCCTCTCCTGTTGTCTCTCTCGTCTCCTGTTGTCTCTCTCGTCTCCTGTTGTCTCTCTCGTCTCCTGTGGTCTCTCTCTCGTCTCCTGTTGTCTCTCTCTCGTCTCCTGTTGTCTCTCTCTCGTCTCCTGTGTCTCTCTCTCGTCTCCTGTGGTCTCTCTCTCGTCTCCTGTGGTCTCTCTCTCGTCTCCTGTGGTCTCTCTCTCGTCTCCTGTGTCTCTCTCTCTCGTCTCCTGTGGTCTCTCTCTCTCTCGTCTCCTGTGGTCTCTCTCTCTCTCGTCTCCTGTGGTCTCTCTCTCTCTCGTCTCCTGTTGTCTCTCTCTCTCGTCTCCTGTTGTCTCTCTCTCTCTCTCTCGTCTCCTGTTGTCTCTCTCTCTCGTCTCCTGTTCTCTCTCGTCTCCTGTTCTCGTCTCCTGTTCTCTCTCTCTGTCGTCTCCTGTTCTCTCTCTCTCTCGTCTCCTGTTCTCTTGTCTCCTGTTCTCTCTCTCTGTCGTCTCCTGTTCTCTCTCTCTGTCGTCTCCTGTTCTCTCTCGTCTCCTGTTCTCTCTCGTCTCCTGTTCTCTCCAGTGGTATGTGCGTATGAGGATTCTTGGTTATAACATGACTCATCTTTTCTCTCGTTCCAGTGCATAGCGGAGGAGAGTGATGAGGACACAGGGTTCTACTCCGAGGGGGAGGAGCCAGACACACACAAGAGGAGGAGTCTCTGTGTCGCCTTCAGGTGAGTGTACGTGTGTACCTGTGTGTCAGGGTTTCCTTTAGCCGGCTTTTTGCTTTTTAGCCGATTCATTGATGGAAATACATTTGACCGGTCATGCTTATCAGTCTATAGGTTAATTTGCATAATTTAGTGGAATTCAATTAGCGCATATGTACAGTATATTTTTATATTTTACATTTTAGTCATTTAGCAGACGCTCTTATTCAGAGCGACTTACAGGTGCAATTGGAGTTAAGTGCCTCGCTCAAGGACACATCAACAGATTTTTCAACTAGTCGGCTTGGGGATTCGAACCAGCGACCTTTCGGTTACTGGCCCAACGCTCTTAACCACTAGGCTACCTATGTATCTTATTTATCACACGTACAGCATACAAATACAGAGCCTTTGAGCGAAAAATCTGACATCGCGAGAACTTCTGCTACAGCATCTCAAACAGCAAATGCATAGTCAACGGAAGGCCTAAATCAGTGAGTCACAGCACTTTGCAATGAGCTGGAGGCAGTGTGCATTTTGAAAACATATACTTAAATGTTTGAAACCTGAACGTTTTACTACATATTATGAGGCTTTTTAAAGTTATTGTTTTATGTAGCCTAGGCTTACTGGTTGGATAACTTTGGGATCTATCCTCCCACAACTGTCCCAGAGTCTGTTTGGAACAGGCTATTTCTTTGTCGCGCAGAACGACAAGCTGACCAACAGAATAGGTAAACTTTTCTACTATGGGGGATAGTAGATTGACATAGGCTAGTGATTTTGCTGTTAGTTACTCGTCTTGTTGGCTGAGGAAAAGTAAAATGTGGACAGTTATTCTAACATCGTGGTCCTCTGTAACTCAATTGGTAGAGCATGGCGCTTGTAACGCCAGGGTAGTGGGTTCGATCCCCGGGACCACCCATACGTAAAAATGTATGCACACATGACTGTAAGTTGCTTTGGATAAAAGCATCTGCTAATTGGCATATTATTATTATTATTATTATTATTATTATTATTATTATTATTATTACATCTTTAAAGTGAGCGTCAGAATTCGGTAAGGAGGACCACACATCGTTGCATCCTCGACTTGCATGTTCAGTTAATATGAATGACCATAATCTAAAAGTGATTTCTGTCATTCTGAGAACAGTGGGTGGACGCCCTAATCAGGTTACTCACCCAATGCATATGAATCTGGTACAATTTCTCAAATGTCCGGTAAATTAAAATGCTGCCGGTCAAGTGTCCCGTGCCACATTTTCGGAAAACCCTGCTGTGTGTGTGTGTCTGTCTCAAAAATGGCACCATATTCACTATATGATCCACTGCTTTTGACCACAGTCCTATTGGGTTTTTGAATTATACTAATAATTCTGCCTCTTCTTCAGGTTTCCCACAAAAAGACTCTCTGCCCAGAAAGGGGAGGCACAAAATAACCCCCAAGCAATTAGCGCCGCCCCTCCGGAGAGGAGAACCAATGAGAGGCTGCATCTGAAAAGGGGTTGTGTCTCAGGAGTCCAGTGGTAGGGTGACATGGGGTCAGAAACCGCCCCCCAAAAAAGAGGAGGTAGAAGAAGAGAAGAAGATGGAGGTCGAGTCTCCAATTCTAAATAAACGAGCCAAGAACATCCAGGAGAACAAAGCCATGGTACATGACCTCTAACCTTTGACCAGGGTTGTGTTCCTTAGGCAGAAATACTACTGAACCCAACCCCCTCCTCTGATTTCTGTCTCTTGTTATTATTGTGTATATTAGAAGTGTCTTCTCATCCTCTGGGTTACTGTTGTCCTCTAGTTGGCCAAGCTGTTTGCTGACCTGACCAACATGGCTGAACTCACCTCCTCTCCCACGGTGAGTACACTGCACACTTGACTGAGCTACAGTTTGACTAGAATTGGTTCATATTGGGCATGTTTGAGATGAACTTACTGGCTTGTTCCACGAATTAGGTGCCTTTTTGAGTAGTGTAACTTTGTGAAAAAACGTTTTAATAGATAAAACATGTTTTCCTTCTCAAATCAAATGTATTGGTCACATACACATGGTTAGCAGATGTTTATAGCGAGTGTAGCGAAATGCTTGTGCTTCTAGCTCCGACAGTGCAGCAATGTCTAGCAAGTAATATCTAACAGTTCCACAACAAATACCTAATACACACAAATCTAAGTAAAGGAATGGAATAAGAATATATAAATATATGGATGAGCAATGTCATTGTCAGAGCGGCATAGGCTAAGATGCAATAGATAGTATAGAATACAGTATATACATATGAGATGGGTAATGGAAGATATGTAAACATTATTAAAGTGGCGTTATTAAAGTGACTAGTGTTCCATTTATTAAAGTGGCCAGTGATTTTCAAGTCTGTATGTAGGCAGCAGCCTCTCTGTGCTAGTGATGGCTGTTTAACAGTCTGATGGCCTTGAGATAGAAGCTGTTTTTCAGTCTCTCGGTCCCAGCTTTGATGCACCTGTACTGACCTCGCCTTCTGGATGATAGTGGGGTGAACAGGCAGTGGCTGAGGTGGTAGATGTCCTTGATTTTCTTTTTGGCCTTCCTTTGACATCGTGTTCTGTAGGTGTCCTGGAGGGCGGGTAGTTGGCCCCGGTGATGCGTTGTGCAGACCTCGAGAGAGAATATAAAACTTTAAGTGCCAAATAAAGTAACAGGGTTGACCGTACAGGGTTGACCGTAACAGGGTTGACCGTAACAGGGTTGACCGTAATCTGGTTGATGACTTCATCTTAAATCATCCATAAATCCTCTTGTGGCAGGGGGAATGGAAGCTTGTTGTGTGGCTGGGAGGGGCAAAATAAATACAAGTGAAATAAAAAATAATTGAATTCAAGCGTCACTAAAAAAATGTAATTGTTAAAACATTTCTATAGGAATAGTTTCACCATATTAAAACAAGAGTTCAGTTCACGTAACATGGTTGACCGTAACAGGGTTGACCTTAAAATGAGGGACAAGGTTTTTTCATCCTAAAATGAATCAATAATCACATGAAATAAATAATAAGCAACAATATAACTAGGGCTTTACAATGATGGTGAAAACTTGGAGAAATGTTGGGGTTAGAATCTTCCTAGAAGTCACAGAGGATGAACAGAGGGACATTTCAAAATGTGGAATTTTAGCACTTTAGCAAGTCTTTATTCAGATGAAGATTCGTTGAATTTTCCAGGTGGTCTATATTAAAGGGCACTTCATTTAATATAATATTGGTGCACAATTTCTACTTCAAATATCAAAGGGACACAAAAGGCATTCATTTCGTAGAATGACTACTGGATTGCAATCGGACTGCGCAGAATCTCTAAATCACCTTGCATCCCAAAGATTAGTGACGCTGCACCTCGTCTGGCCCAAGCTGATCCCCTCAAACATGCTGACTTTCTCAGGTGACTCATGACTTCTGGGTGTTGTGGTCCTGACTGGTGCATTGTGGGTGTTGTTGTGTTCCAGAAGAAGAGGCGTGTGAGTGAGAAGCCGCCCCCTCGTAGACGGGGTGTGTGCGAGGGGGGCGAGAGGAGGAACCCATCGCGTGCGGCCAGACCACCAGAGAAGTTTGGGGTGGAGGAGAGGAGTACCTCGCCCTCACGACACGACAGATCCGTGAGGACTGTCGATGTCAGGAAACTACTGGAGGTACAGCAGTGGAGGCTGCTGAGGGGAGGACTGTGTGTGTGTGTGTCACAGGAGGTTGGTGGCACCTTAATTGGGGAGGACTGCTCATAATAATGGCTGGAATGGTGCGAATGGAATGGCATCAAACACCTGGAAACCATGGAAACCATGTTGTTGATACCATTCCACTGATTCCGCTCCAGTCATTACCACGAGCCCGTCCTCCCCAATTAAGGTGCCACCAACCTCCTGTGACGCACACACACACACACACACGCATTACTTACGTAAGCATGCGCACACACACATAGTGAACACAACTGTGACACACACACACACACACATAGTCATTATGCACACACTAGACACCCTTTGCACGGGTAACTCTTGATCATTGTGACTGGACCAGTAGATGATTGTGTGTGTGTGTGTGTGTGTGTGTGGCCAGGTGGATGAGCTGAGTAGAAGTGGGAGGAAGAGGAGGGTGAGCAGCGGGAAGAGGAGGAAGATTACACATGTGAGATCAGTCGATGAAATCACAGAGGAAGAGCTGGACAACGTGGCGCAACGTGCCAAAGACAAGATACTGGACAAGGACCACGTAAGACACACACACACACACACACACACACAGAGCAAGGCTTTTACAATTGTCACTTTTCATCAGCTGCTCAGTTCTACTGTCTTTCCCATCTCCTGTCCTGTGATCTGGTGTGTTCCAGGGCAGCACGTGTCACCAGTGCAGACAGAAAACTCTGGACACCAAGACGGTGTGTCGTAGTGGAGTGTGTATAGGGGGCAAAGGTCAGTTCTGTGGGCCCTGTCTGAGGAACCGCTACGGAGAGGACGTACACGCCGCCCTGCTGGACCCGGTCAGTATACACACATAGCCCTGGACCTCGACCCTATCAGTACACCAAATATATGTCTCCCTCTCTCTGTCTCCCTCTCTCTGTGTATATCTCTGTCTGTGTATCTCTCTCTCGCTGTCTGTGTATCTCTCTCTCTCTCTTTCTCTTTCTCTCAATTCAATTCAATTTAAGGGCTTTATTGGCATGGGAAACGTATGTTAACATTGCCAAAGCAAGTGAAGTAGATAGTATTTATTGTTTATTTCACTTTTGTTTACTAACAGTAAACATTACACTCAGAAGTTTCAAAAGAATAAAGACATTTCAAATGTCATATTATGTATATATACAGTGTTGTAACAATGTGCAAATAGTTAAAGTACAAATGGGAAAATAAATAAACATATGGGTTGTATTTACAATGGTGTTTGTTCTTCACTGGTTGCCCTTTTCTTGTGGCAACAGGTCACAAATCTTGCAGCTGTGATGGCACACTGACACTCTGTATCTTTCTCACTCTCTCCCTCTCTGTATCTCTCTCTCTCTCTCAATTCAATATACTTTATTGACATGGCAAGTTAAATTACTTACATTGTCAAAGTATACATGTAACAAAAATGGTGGGACCAACAGCTATAATAATAGTAGTAGTGGAAATGGGACTACCATTAACAGCAACTACAACCACAATATTAATGAGAATAACAATACATTAAAGCAATAGTAGTCGACCAGTCTCAACATGACTGAGAAGACACATTACATGGTATAAAAGCCAAAACAAAACAGGAAATATTATTGACATTACATTACACTTTTCACTGGCTGTCCCTCAGGTTGTGGCAGGAGGAGGCTTTTCACCCAATAAATATTAGATTTTTTCTTCCTCTTTTATAGTTTCAAATTCTTTGTACTGAATGATAATTTTGGGAAAGAAAGATTCTATTAGGTCTGAGTATTTGTCACAGTGTAATAGGAAATGCAGCTCTGTCTCTACCTCTCCCCGGGGGTAGAGTGAGCACAGCCTGTCCTCTCTGGGCAGCCAGGTTTGCCTGTGACGACTGGTCTCTATAGCCAGACTGTGCTCACTGAGTCTGTACCTAGTCATTGTTTTCCTCAGTTTTCTATCAGTCACAGTGGTCAGATAGTCTGCCACCATGTACTGTCTGTTTAGAGCCAAATAGCAATGAAGTTTACTTAATTTTTTGTGGTGTCTTTCCAATAGGTGATATATTTTTCTTTTTGATTCGTGATGATTTGGTTGGGCCAGATTTTCTGAGTGCTGTCCTGAGGCTCTATGAGGTTGGTTTTGGTTAGTGAACTGAGCCTCAGAACCAGCTGGCTGAGGGGACTCTTCTCTTGTTTCATCTCTTGACACAGTAGAGCTGTGTGATGGAATGTTTAGGGGTCACTAGTTTTTAGATGGTTGTAAAATTTGATGGCTCTTTTTTCTATTTGATTAAGGAGGGGGTATTGGCTCAATTCTTTTCTACATGCGTTATTTGGAGTTTTTCTTTGCACTTGCAATACAGTCTTGCAAAACTCTGCATGCAGTATTTCGATTGGATGTTTGTCCCATTTGGTAAATTCAGTATTAGAGAGCGGACCCTATACTTCGCTGCCATATAGAGCAATTGGTTCGATAACTGATTGGAACATTTTGAGCCAGATTCTAATTGGAATTTCGATTTTAATATTCCTTTTAATGGCATAGAATGCTCTTCTTGCTTTGTCTCTCAGCTCATTCACAGCCATGTGAAAGCTACCTGTGTTGCTGATATTTAGTCCTAGATATGTGTAATTTTTGGTGTGTTCTAATACATTTACATTACATTTTAGTCATTTAGCAGACGCTCTTATCCAGAGCGACTTACAGGAGCAATTAGGGTTAAGTGCCTTGCTCAAGGGCACATCGACAGATTTTTCCACCTAGTCGGCTCGGGGATTAGAACCAGCGACCTTTCGGTTACTGGCACAACGCTCTTACCCACTAAGCTACCTGCCGCCTCGAACTAAGAACTGTGTCCAAATATAATTTATATTTGTCATCCTGATTTCCTGACCTTTTTTGGAATATTATTATATTCGGTTTTTTTTAGATTAACGGTCAGAGCCCAGGTCTGACAGAACCTGTGTAGATGATCTAGATGCTGCTGTAACCCCTCCTTAGTGCGAGACAGTAGCACCAGGTCATCTGCGTACAGCAGACACTTGATTTCAGTGTTGTGTAGGGTGAGACCAGGTGCTGCCGATTCTTCTAATGTTTTTGCCAATTCATTAATGTAGATGTTAAATAGTGTTAGACTTATTGGGCAGCCCTGTTTCACTCCACGTCCCTGAGAGAAGAAGTCTGTTTGCTTGTTGCCAATTTTAACCGCACATTTGTTTTTAGTGTACATTGATTTAATAACATCATATGTTTTCCCTCCAATACCACTTTCTATTAGTTTGTAAAAAATACCTTTGTGCCAAATTGAATCATACTTTCTTGAAGTCTTCAAACCACGAGTAGATTTTGCCTTTGTTTTGGTTTACTTGTTTGTCAATTAGAGTGTTGAGGGTGTAAATGTGGTCTGTTGTACGATAATTTTAAAAAAATCCAGTCTGGCTTCTGCTTAGGACGTTGTGTTCATCAAGGAAATTATGTAGTCTACTGTTTATGATACTGCAGAGAATTTTCCCCAAGTTGTTTTTAACGCAAATTCCTCTAATTATTTGGGCCAAATTTGTCTACATTTTTATAGATTGGTGTGATCAATCGGAAAATACCTGCAGTTAGGATAATGTTGAAGAGTTTGAGTATAGCCAATTTGAATTTGTGGTCTGTATATTTGATCATTTCATTTGAAATACCATCAGCACCACAGGCCTTTTTGGGTTGGAGAGTGCAAAGTTTTTCCAATAATTCTTGTTCTATAATTGGGGTATCCACAGGATTCTGAGAGTCTTTGACTGCTGATTCAAGGATTTGTAATTTTTCTTGTATATCTTGTTGTTCTGGGCTCGTTGTTATATTGCTGTAGAGGTTTGCAAAGTGATTTCTCCACAGATCCCCATTTTGGATAGCCAATTCCTCATTAGGTTTTTTAATTTATTCAAATTCTCCCAGAAGTGGTTTGATTCTATGGATTCCTCAATCACATCCAGCTGATTTATAATGTGCTGTTCCTTTTTTGTTCTTGGGGTGTATTTGTATTGCTTCAGTGTTTCCCCATATTGAAGGCGTATATTTTTGTTGTCTGGGTCTCTGTGTTTTTGATTAGATATATTTTTCAATGACTTTCTTACATTTTTGCAATCATTATCAAACCATTTTTCATTATCTATTCTTTTTGGTTTGCTCTTATGTTTCTTTAGATTAGCCAAGGAGGCTTCCAAACGGCCAAATTTACACCTTCATTGCTGTAGGAGAATGTTAAGGCTAAAAAGTTGTCCAGGAGAGATTGTATTTTTTGGCTACTAATTGCTTTTTGGTAGATTTCTGTACTGTTTGCACGCCATCTATAGGTCTGAATCGTACTACACTGGCTCTGACGCTCATCGGATGTGGCAGGGCTTGAAAACTATTACAGACTACAAAGGGAAGCACAGCCGCGAGCTGCCTCGTGACACAAGCCTACCAGACGAGCTAAACCACTTCTATGCTCGCTTCAAGGCAAGCAACACTGAAGCATGCATTAGAGCACCAGCTGTTCCGGATGACTATGTGATCACGCTCTCCGTAGCCGATGTGAGTAAGACTTTTAAGCAGGTCAACATTCACAAGGCCGCAGGGCCAGACGGATTACCAGGACGTGTACTCCGAGCATGTGCTGACCAACTGGCAAGTGTCTTGACTGACATTTTCAACATGTCCCTGACTGAGTCTGTAATACCAACATGTTTCAAGCAGACCACCATAGTCCCCGTGCCCAAGGACTCTAAGATAACCTGCCTAAATGACTACCGACCCGTAGCACTGACGTCTGTAGCCATGAAGTGCTTTGAAAGGCTGGTCATGGCTCACATCAACAGCATTATCCCAGAAACCCTAGACCCACTCCAATTTGCATACCGCCCCAACAGATCCACAGATCTCTATTGCACTACACACTGCCCTTTCCCACCTGGACAAGAGGAACACCTACGTGAGAATGCTATTCATTGACTACAGCTCAGCATTCAACACCATAGTGCCCTCTAAGCTCATCACTAAGCTAAGGATCCTGGGACTAAACACCTCCCTCTGCAACTGGATCCTGGACTTCCTGACGGGCCGCCCCCAGGTGGTAAGGGTAGGTAACAACACATCTGCCACACTGACCCTCAACACGGGGGCCCCTCAGGGGTGCGTGCTCAGTCCCCTCCTGTACTCTCTGTTCACCCATGACCATGGCCAGGCACGACTCCAACACCATCATTAAGTTTGCCGACGACACAACAGTGGTAGGCCTGATCACCGACAACGATGAGACAGCCTATAGGGAGGAGGTCAGAGACCTGACCGTGTGGTGCCAGGACAACAACCTCTCCCTCAACGTGACCAAGACAAAGGAGATGATTGTGGACTACAGGAAAAAAAAGAGGACTGAGCACGCCCCCATTCTCATCGACGGGGCTGTAGTGGAACAGGTTGAGAGCTTCAAGTTCCTTGGTGTCCACATCACCAACAAACTATCATGGTCCAAACACACCAAGACAGTCGTGAAGAGGGCACGACAAAGCCTATTCCCCCTCAGGAGACTGAAAAGATTTGGCATGGGTCCTCAGATCCTCAAAAAATTCTACAGCTGCACCATCGAGAGCATCCTGACTGGTTGCATCACCGCCTGGTATGGCAACTGCTTGGCCTCCGACCGCAAGGCACTACAGAGGGTAGTGCGTACGGCCCAGTACATCACTGGGGCCAAGCTTCCTGCCATCCAGGACCTCTATACCAGGCGGTGTCAGAGAAAGGCCCTCAAAATTGTCAAAGACTCCAGCCACCCTAGTCATAGACTGTTCTCTCTGCTACCGCACGGCAAGCGGTACCGGAGTGCCAAGTCTAGGTCCAAAAGACTTCTCAACAGCTTCTACCCCCAAGCCATAATACTCCTGAACAGCTAATCATGGCTACCCGGACTATTTGCACTGCCCCCCCACCCCATCCTTTTTACGCTGCTGCTACTCTGTTAATTATTTATGCATAGTCACTTTAACTCTACCCACATGTACATATTACTTCAACTACCTCAACTAGCCGGTGCCCCCGCACATTGACTCTGCACCGGTACCCCCCTGTATATATAGCCTCCCTACTGTTATTTTATTTTACTTCTTCACTTTTTTTGTTGTTGTTTTATTTTTACTTTCTTTGTTAAAAATAAATGTACTGTTGGTTAAGGGCTGTAAGTAAGCATTTCACTGTAATGTCTGCACCTGTTGTATTCGGCGCATTTGACCAATAAGATTTGATTTGTTTAGTACCATGTAATTTATTGGGCCGTGATGCTTCATGGTTGGGTTCTGCTCTTTTCAGATACACTGTGATTTTACTGTGGTCTGAGAGAGGTGTTAGTGGGCTGACTGTGAAGGCTCTGAGAGACTCTGGGTTGAGGTCGGTGATGAAGTAGTCTACAGTACTGCTGCCAAGGGATGAGCTGTAGGTGTACCTACCAAAAGAGTCCCCTCTTAGCCTACCATTGACTATGTACAGACCCAGTGTTCGGCAGAGCTTCAGGAGCTGTACTCCATTTTTGTTTTTCACTTTGTCATAGTTGTTTCTGGGGGGGTATGTGGGGAGGGAAAGGTTGTTGCTTCCCGGTAGGTGTTTATCCCCATGACTGTTAATAGTGTCTAGTTCTTCTGCTGTTCTAGCATTCAGGTCTCCACAGACCAGCACATTGCCTTGGGCCTGAAAGTGACTAATCTCCCCCTCTAGAATGGAGAAACTCTCTTCATTGAAGTAGGGTGACTCTGAGGGGGGAATGTATGTAGCACAGAGGAAGACGTTTTTATCTGTTAAGATAGCCTCCTTGTTGATTTTTAGCCAGATAAAGAATTCTCCTGTTTTGATCAATTCGATTGAATTAGTTAGTTCCTATTTATACCATATTAGCATTCTCTCTCTCTCTGTGTGTGTGTGTGTCTCTCTCTCTCTCTCTCTCTCTGTGTGTGTGTCTCTCTCTCTGCGTGTCTCTCTCTCTCTGCATCTCTCTCTGTATCTGTCTGTCTCTCTCATTATCTCTCTCTCTCCCTCTGTCTCTCTCTTTGTCTCTGTATCTCTCTCTCTCTGTATCTATCTCTCTGTATCTCTCTCTCTCTCCTCTGTCTATCTCTCTCTCTCTCCCTCTCTGTGTCTCTCTGTGTGTGTGTGTCTCTCTCTCTCTCTCTCTCTCTCTCTCTCACTCTCTGTGTCTCTCTCTCTTCATCTGTCTGACTCTCTCGCTCTCTCTCTCTCATTATCTCTCTCTCTCTTTGTGTCTCTGTATCTCTCTCTCTGTATCTATCTCTGTATCTCTCTCCCTCTGTATCTCTGTATCTCACTCTCTGTCTCTCTGTATCTATCTCTGTATCTCTCTCCCTCTGTATCTCTGTATCTCACTCTCTGTCTCTCTGTATATATCTCTGTATCCCTCTCTGTCTCCAGGACTGGGAGTGTCCTCTGTGTAGAGGTATCTGTAACTGCAGTCTGTGTCGACGGAGAGAAGGACGCTGTGCAACCGGACAACTGGTCCATTTGGCTCAACACAAGGGCCACAGCAACGTCCAAGATTACCTGGAGAGGTAGGTGTGCGTGTGTGTGTGTGAGAGAGAATGTATAGGTTGTTTAAAATAAAAAATATCTCTCTTTCTACCTTTCTCTCTCCACAGCATCCAGAAAGATCTTAGAGCCTAGAGACAAGCAGACCGTGCCCCCTGTTGGTCAGAACAGAGAATTACACCCTGTAGGCCCAGAGGGAGAGACCCAGCAGACAGTGTGCGTCCCAATTATCTCTCCTTTCTCCTGAAGTGTACACTCGTTCACTTCTTACCACAAATCTGAAAGCATTGGATTGTAGGAGGCATGGGCTAAAAGGTGCTTCCACCATATTTCTTACACCAGTAATTTCCCTTCAAATCCTTCAAGTGGACATGTGCACACTTTGGAAGGAAGGCGAGATAATTAGGACGTAGTCACACTGACACACATTGTCCTGCTTTAGTACCGCCACAGTTCAGACTAGAACCCAGACCGCCACCACGGGTCCCTCTGCCACCTTATTTAATCAGTCATGTTCAGTAGGGACACAGGAGGTAGCACATGACCTCCACCACGGGTCCCTCTGCCACCTTATTTAATCAGTCATGTTCCGTAGGGACACAGGAGGTAGCACCTGACCTCCACCACGGGTCCCTCTGCCACCTTATTTAATCAGTCATGTTCAGTGGGGACACAGGAGGTAGCACCTGACCTCCACCACGGGTCCCTCTGCCACCTTATTTAATCAGTCATGTTCCGTGGGGACACAGGAGGTAGCACCTGACCTCCACCACGGGTCCCTCTGCCACCTTATTTAATCAGTCATGTTCAGTAGGGACACAGGAGGTAGCACATGACCTCCACCACGGGTCCCTCTGCCACCCTATTTAATCAGTCATGTTCAGTAGGGACACAGGAGGTAGCACCTGACCTCCACCACGGGTCCCTCTGCCACCCTATTTAATCAGTCATGTTCAGTGGGGACACAGGAGGTAGCACCTGACCTCCACCACGGGTCCCTCTGCCACCCTATTTAATCAGTCATGTTCAGTGGGGACACAGGAGGTAGCACCTGACCTCCACCACGGGTCCCTCTGCCACCCTATTTAATCAGTCATGTTCAGTGGGGACACAGGAGGTAGCACCTGACCTCCACCACGGGTCCCTCTGCCACCTTATTTAATCAGTCATGTTCAGTGGGGACACAGGAGGTAGCACCTGACCTCCACCACGGGTCCCTCTGCCACCCTATTTAATCAGTCATGTTCAGTGGGGACACAGGAGGTAGCACCTGACCTCCACCACGGGTCCCTCTGCCACCCTATTTAATCAGTCATGTTCAGTGGGGACACAGGAGGTAGCACCTGAAATCCTCCTGTGAGAATATACAACTCCCTTAAGTGTTTATTTGGACAGTGAAGCAAAAACGTTGAATTAGTCTCTATCCTCCGCCATTTTGGATTTGAGATCAAATGTTTATATGAGGCGACAGAACAGAATGCAAGGGTTGGAACCGGTTCAGGGAACAGAAACCGAAAACCTGAAAATAACGACATTTTTCAAGGAATAGAATCAGAACCGGGAAGGAAAGTGATCTATACTGTTCCGGAACAGAACGGTTATTTTAAAAGCATAGGAACCGGTTAATAACGTTATTTTATGTTCCGGGTTTTTTTTTTTTAGTCCCACAAAAAAACGCAACTAAGCGCCTTTGCAAAGCCCTCCCTCTGTCAATCAGAAACTTGTTCCAGCGTCTGCCTGCCAGTGTGTGCATGTGTAGTGTACCTGTCCCTCTGACGCATCGCTGTATCCCACTGATGTTACAAGCGCAATTGAGAATATAGGGAGAGAGATTTTTAATTGGAGAAGAATGGGTTAACTTTTTCAATGCTAGTTAGGGATACTATAGTTATCACATTTCGCATTGGAGACATTACATGTTAGTCATTTAGCAGACGCTCTTATCCAGAGCGACTTACAGTTAGTGAGTGCATACATTTTCATACTGCCCCCCCCCCCCCCCATGGGAATCGAACCCACAACAGACATGTTTTTAATTCTGGTGCCGCTCTGCACACACAAGCCTGTTGGCTAGCTAACTAGCTCTGGTCCAAAGTTAAGCCAACTCTCTGAAGTTCAAAGACATTCAAAGTTCCTCCATAGAAGCCGCTCATCCGTAGGTATAACTCTGTGGGCCTAATTCAGATCATGTTGTCATCACAAGATGCCCAGCGCTTTCAGCCAAGCCTCCTCCTCCACCCTGTCGCGCTCTCCCCACCCACAGAATGTGTTGCATCTCGCGCTCTCCCCACCCACAGAATGTGTTGCATCTCGCGCCCTACTCTTGTCGCGCTCTCCCCACCCACAGAATGTGTTTCATCTCGCGCCCTACTCTTGTCAGTCCGTCACACATGTAAACAACTATAGCTTGCCCGCTCCGTAGCAAGTAACGATATAAAACTGTACTTATTTTGGTTCGAACTGGTTCAGAACTTTATTTTGCTGGTTGTAAAAAACAAAACGATTGGAAATGTAAACTTTTTTTATTTGAGTGTATTTTCATACATATATTTTTTACTGGTTTAAAAATGAAAGCACTTTATGTATCTAGTCCCCCCCCCCCATTTGAAGGGGTCATAAGTATTTGGACAAATTCACTTATATTTGTATTAAAGTACTGAAGTTTAGTCTGTGGTCCCATATTCCTAGCACACAATGACTACATCAAGCTTGTGATCTACAAACTTGTTGGATGCATTTGCAGTTTGTTTTGGTTGTGTTTCAGATTATGTTGTGCCCAATATAAATGAATGGTAGAGGTATAAATATCATACCCTCCCAAAAAAATGTTAAACTCCCCCGGTATTGGTAATGGTGAGAGGTTAGCATATCTTGGGGGTATGATCTTTGTGCCTCTGTAACTTTCTCACTCATCATTATTCACGATTCATTCATGATTATCCGTAATCATGGTAGCATCCACATTAATGTAGTGTTCAGAAATTTATTATATTATTATGTACAATAAAAGTGACTCCAAAATGACACAGTACATTATTTACCATTCATCTCAAATCCAAAATGCGTGAGTATAGAGCCAAATTAAACGTTTTAGCTTCACTGTCCAAATAAATACGTAGGAGAGTGTATATTTACCATTGCAGAATGTTTTGCTATGGTGTGCCCTACTGAACACAACCCAGGAAAACCATCACTTGTTGATCCCTGGTACTAAAAAGGTTTTGAGAGACACTGGTCGAGATGGAGATCTGTGGTTCTGTGTTTAGACAGGCAGCCCAATTCTGATCCTTTTTTCACAAATTGGTCTTTTGACCAATCGGATCAGCTCTTAAAAATATGATGTGAAAATATCTAATGTGATTGGTCAAAACACAAATTAGAGGAAAAAAGGTCACAATTGGTCTGGCTCTCTATATGCAGCCTAACTAGAACAACTAAGATCATCTGATATAACTGCCACTTAAGTCACATCTGCATCTTCAGCTTTTGGTTTTTATGTTGACTTTTGATGTCGATGGGCTACTTTTCTATGTGGGTTAAGACAATACTGTTGATTTGTACGATCCATCGACAACAGATCATGTAAAATAGTAATTAAAGGTTTAACTTTTTAATCATATTTTTATACAACAGTCAGGCAGTGGAGTTGAACTTTTATTAGACATGGGATGGAGCGGAGGGTAAACACACAAACATTTTTTAAATTGGCTACGTTTTATTTGGAAAATAATGTTTACACACCTATTATTACGCTAAATTAGCATAGGTAGTGTTTACGTTACCGGAGAGTTTACCCACCTATTTTACCACTACGTCCCTGATAGTAAGACCTTTCACTGAACAGGACCAGGAGATCTTCGCTCTGGATAAGAGTGTCTGCTAAATTATTCAAACGTAAATATAGCCAATAGAAATGGATACCTGTGTACTGTACTGTTTAATTCACTTTATCATTTTTGTTTGTTTTTAAGACTGCCTCAAGCAGTGGACACTTTGAATCTGAATAAAGAACTGAAGTTATGTTTACTGGCTGGTTTCTGTCTATTTGTGTGTTTTGTGACAATGGCAGTTTTATTAGCAGTTTGGAGTGTCTAGATAGATGTAATTCTTTTTAATGTCTGTAGTAGTTGACGCGACCAAATTCACATAGAAATGTGAGTTATAGATATTTCAATCGCATTAAAAGCAAGTCTAAGAAGCGGTAGATCTGTTCTATGTGCGCTATTTCTATGCTTCCCGTTCTCAAAGGAAAGCTTTTGGGTGGAGTTATATTTTTTGGTATTTGTTTCATTAATCCATTGTTGATATAATCCCAAGATGTTTTGCATGTCATCAATCAAGTTTTCAAGATATATAACTTACAATATACAGAAATACATCCGGTATGATGCTTTGTAACCTGTTGCCACAAGAAAAGGGCAACCAGTGAAGAACAAACACCATTGTAAATACAACCCATATTTATGTTTATTTTAGCTATTTACACATTGTTATAACACTGTACATAGCCATTTTTTGACATTTGAAATCTCTATTCATTTTTACATTTTAGTCATTTAGCAGACGCTCTTATCCAGAGCGACTTACAGTTAGTGAGTGCATACATTTTCATACTATTCCTTTGAAACGTAATGTTTACTGTTCATTTTCATTGTTTATTTCACTTTTGTTTATCTATTTCACTTGCTTTGGCAATGTAAACATCTGTTTCCCATGCCAATAAACTCTTTGAATTGAATTGACTAGTTTATAAAAAAAAAAAAAAGAGAATGTATTACCCTACACTAGCACAACGCAGCGGTTCCCACTAGATAGCACAGCCACAAAGTCGAAATGGACTATATTGTAAAAATAAATGAAAACAAAAATTAATTTAAGGTTAGTTATAGGATTAGCAGTGTGGTTAGAGTTAGGTTTATAGTCTGATTTTTAGAAGAACAATCTTAGAAATAGGCGGGGATTATGACTGTGTGGCTGTGTTAACTAGTGACAAAGCAGGCTGGGAGATGGAGTCGCCGCCACCATAACATATTTTGAAGGCGAGGCTTCGCCAAATACAACTCCCATCTCAACCCTCGCAGACCGAGTCTGCCATCCAATCTGAATATGTGGGAGGAGCACACCGCCCACAAAAAGCCACAGCTATCTATCTGTCTCCAGATGCAATTATACAGTGCAACTATAAAGAATATACATAAAATAGTGCTATTGATAAGGTGTATTTTTGCATGAAGATCGTTGGAAAGGCTTGTTGTAGGCTACCTAGCGACAGAAACAGCAGCGGCAGAAAGAGGAGAGAGAGAGGGGTGTTGGGTAAATGAAAGTGGGTGGGCCTACCGCGGACACACTACCAACTTCGATCAGGATACATTTATGCAAACGCTCGATTTTTTCCGTTAATAGAATTTACGCGCGACGGTCGTTAAAGTGTGTTTTTGGTTGGTTTTGAGTGGCGTCGGGTGCGGACAACGGACTCTTCCCCGTTATAACGGGAGGTTTGATTGTTGCTCGAGCTTGGTACCGCCCTTCCTGCCGGGTGGGTGGTTTCGGTGCTAACGGGAGCGACGCCACAGCCCAGCGCGAGCCATTCGCGGAGAAAATAGGCCGTCCTTCCCCGGTGCTTCAGCCGGCCTTTCTCCCCTAGCCTCTCCTCTCCGGTTTATGAATGCGTTATGAGTGGTAGGTACCCTCCCCCTCTCTTCTTCGTCTCCACCCTCTCTCTCTCTCTTTCTGCGCACGTAGCCTGCCTGATACCTACAAGAACCCTTTGAGGATATAGCGTTTTCCTAAATAAGAGACAATAGCCTACAGGTATCTGTTTCTCTGTAATACAGTCTCTAATAAGGTTCCGATCACTGCATATGCCTTTATGGCCAGGAGTTTAACCATATGGTGTCACTACACTGTTATAAAACCACGTGCAGGGAAATAACCGCATCTGATCTCCCTTCACTCACAGTGTTATTGATAAAGGTGATCACTAATCACTCAGTCCTAAAGTGATAGTCTATTGATTGTTGATCAAGTATTGTCTGATTTATGGTCCTCAGATCAGAAGACTGATGTGTCGGGATCAGAAGAAGGGAAACCAGGCAAGAAAGGCAAACGTTCTGGATCACAGGTAGACTGGACCCCCCCCCCCCCCCCCCCATATAGTTTGGGTGCTTTCTTCCTCTCCAATCACACACACAGGCACACACAGACACACACACAGACACACACACACACAGACACACACACACATAAAAAATAACTTCCTGGTTCTGTATAGAGACCAAGTTCAGAGGATTGCACAATGTCTTTCAACACAAATAATGGACTTTGCCTCAATGTCTATGAGATATGCATATTACTGTATAAAAGTGAATATTTCTTTAATATTTTCAGAGCATTTCCATAGCATGTGTTCTGACAGGGTTTCCAAAGGCATGTTTGACTCTAGTGTTGATGTAGACTTCTGTAGCGTCTGTAAATAAATAACACTATCTGTCTTTACAGACAGATGTATAGGTGTGCTGTGCATGTGTGTGACATTAAATATTTGCCCGCGACCTAGTTCCTTTTCTCTGAGAGAGTGAGAGGGAGGCTTCTCTTCCGCTGCTCTGAGAGAACAGAGAAATGTGTTTCTCACACCCACACACTCACTTCCTGTAATGCTACCCACTTCTACTGCCTATTACTCTCTACTGACTATTGCTCTTTCTCTCTCTCTCTCTCTCTCTCTCTCTCTCTCTCTCTCTCTCTCTGTCTCTCTGTCTCTCTGTCTCTCTGTCTCTCTGTCTCTCTCTATCTCGCTCTCTCGCTCTCTCTGTCGCTAACTTTCTCTCTCTCTCTCTCTCTCTCTCTCTCTGTCTCTCGCTCTCTCTGTCGCTATCTTTCTCTCTCTCTCTCTCTCTCTCTCTCTCTCTCTCTCTCTCTCTCTCTCTCTCTCTCTCTCTCTCTCTCAATTCAATTCAATTCAATTCAATTTAAGCGCTTTATTGGCAACAATAAATATTAACAGTAAACATTACACTCAGAAGTTCCAAAAGAATAAAGACATTTCAAATGTCATATTATGTCTATATACAGTGTTGTAACAATGTGCAAATAGTTAAAGTACAAATGGGAAAACAAATAAACATAAATGGGTTGTATTTACAATGGTGTTTGTTCTTCACTAGTTGCCCTTTTCTTTTGGCAACAAGTCACAAATCTTGCAGCTGTGATGGCACACTGGTTTTTCACCCAGTAGATAAGGGAGTTTATTTGTTTGTTTTGTTTATTTGTTTTCAAATTCTTTGTGGATCGCTGTAATTTGAGGGAAATATGTGTCTCTAATATGGTCATACATTTGGCAGGAGGTTAGGAAGTGCAGCTCAGTTTCCACCTCATATTGTGGGCAGTGTGCACATAGCCTGTCTTCTCTTGAGAGCCAGGTCTGCCTACGGCGGCCTTTCTCAATAGCAAGGCTATGCTCACTGAGTCTGTACATAGTCAAAGCTTTCCTTAAGTTTGGGTCATTCACCAGTGGTCAGGTATTCTGCCACTGTGTGCTTAGGGCAAAATAGCATTTTTTTTGTTAATTCTTTCCAATGTGTCAAGTAATTCTCTTTTTTTTTCTCATGATTTGGTTGGGTCTAATTGTGTTGCTGTCCTGGGGCTCTGTGGGGTCTGTGTTTGTGAACAGAGCCCAGGACCAGCTTGCTGAGGGGACTCTTCTCCAGGTTCATCTCTCTGTAGGTGATGCCTGTGTTGCTCTCTCTCTCTCTCTCTCTCTCTCTCTCTCTCTCTCTCTCTCTCTGTCTCTGCTCTGTCTCTGTCTCTGTCTCTGTCTCTGTCTCTCTCTCTCTCTCTCTCTCCTGCTCTTCTCTTCTCTCTCTCGCTCTCTCTCTTTCTCTCTCTCTCTCTCTCTTTCTCTCTCTCTCTCTCTCTCTGTCTCTCTCTCGCTGTCTCTTTCTCTCTCTCTCTCTCTCTCTCTCTCTCTCTCTCTCTCTCTCTCTCTCTCTCTCTCTCTCTCTCTCTCTCTCTCTCTCTCTCTCTCTCTCTCTCTCTCCATTCAATTCAATTTAAGGGCTTTATTGTCATGGGAAACACATGTTTACATTGCCAAAGCAAGTGAAATAGATAATAAACAAAAGTGAAATAAACAATCAGAAATGAACAGTAAACATTACACTCACAAAAGTGTCAGAGGAATAGAGACATTTCAAATGTCATATTATGGCTATGTACAGTGTTGAAGTACAAAAAGGGAAAATAAATGAACATAAATATGGGTTGTATTTACAATGGTGTTTGTTTTTCACTGGTTGCCATTTTCTTGTGGAAACAGGTCACAAATCTTGCTGCTGTGGTATTTCACCTAATAGATATGGGAGTTTATCAAAATTGGATTTGTTTTTCGAATTATTTGTGGGTCTGTGTAATCTGAGGGAAATATGTGTCTCTAATATGGTCATACATTTGGCAGGAGGTTAGGAAGTGCAGCTCAGTCTCCACCTAATTTTGTGGGCAGTGTGCACATAGCCTGTCTTCTCTTGAGAGCCAGGTCTGCCTAGGGCAGCCTCTCTCAATAGCAAGGCTATGCTCACTGAGTCTGTACATAGTCAAAGCGTTCCTTAATTTTGGGTCAGTGACAGTGGTCAGGTATTCTGCCACTGTGTGCTCTCTGTTTAGGGCCAGATAGCAGTCCAGTTTGCTCAGTTTTTTGGTTAATTATTTCCAATGTGTCTCATGATTTGGTTGGTTCTAATTGTGTTGCTGTCCTGGGGCTCTGTGGGGTCTGTTCGTGTTTGTGAACAGAGCCCCAGGACCAGCTTGCTGAGGGAACTCTTCTCTAGGCTCATCTCTCTGTAAGTGATGGCTTTGTTATCGAAGGTTTGGGAATCGCTTCCTTTTAGGTGGTTGTAGAATTGAACAGCTCTTTTCTGGATTTTGATCTCTCTCTCTCTGTCTGTCTTTGTTTGTATGTTCTCTGTGTATGAATGTGTGTTCTATTTTTGAATCCCTCGATCTACCTGTTTGTGTTCTGTGTGTGTGTGTGTGTGTGTGTTCTGTGTGTGTGTGTGTATTCTCTCTAGGATTCCCAGCCGTCTCCCCTAGCCCTGCTGGCTGCGACCTGCAGCAAGATAGGAGGTCAGGGAGGAGTGGAGGGACAGGTGGTTAAATGCATGATAATAATAATTGTATTGTATATGTACAGTGCCTTCAGAAAGTATGCATACCCCTTGATTAATTCCACATTTTGTTGTGTTACAGCCTGAATTCAAAATGCATTTAATTGATTTGTTTTCTCACCCAATCTACACACAATACCCCATAATGACAAAGTGAAAACATGTTTTTAGAAATGTTTGCAAATGTATAGAAGATGTAATACAGAATATCTCATTTACACCCCTGAGTCAATACATGTTAGAATCACCTTTGGCAGCAATTACATCTGCACATTTTCTGGGTAAGTCTCTAAGAGCTTTGCACACCTGTTTGTACAATATTTGGCCATTATTCTTTAAAAAATGATTCAGGCTCTGTCAAATTCGGTGTTGATCATTGCTAGACAACCATTTTCTTGTCTTGCCATAGATTTTCAGCAGATTTAAGTCAAAACGGTAACTCGGCCACTCAGGAACATTCACTGTTTTCTTGGTAAGCAACTCCAGTGTAGATTTGGCCTTGTGTTTTATGTTATTGTCCTGCTGAAAGGTGAATTTATCTCCCAGTGTCTGGTGGGAAACAGACTGAACAAGTTTTTCCTCTAGGATTTTGCCTGTGCTTAGCTCCATTCCATTCCTTTTTTTATCCTGAAAAACTCCCCAGTCCTTAACAATTACAAGCATACCCATAACATGATGCAGCCACCACTATGTTTGAAAATATGAAGAGTGGTACTCAGTAATGTGTTGTGTTGGATTTGCCCCCAAACTTAACACTTTGTATTCAGGAGAAAAAGTAAAGTGCTTTGCCAAATGTTTTGCAGGATTACTTTAGTGCCTTGTTGCAAACAGGATGCAAGTTTTGAGATAAAAGTATTCTGTACAGGTTTCCTTCTATTCACTCTGTCAATTAGGTTAGTGTTGTGGAGCAACTACAATGTTGTTGATCCATCTTCAGTGTTCTCCTATCACAGCCATTAAACCCTGTAACTGTTTTAAAGTCAGCTTTGTCCTCATGGTGAAATCTCTGAGCGGTTTCCTTCCTCTCCGGCAACTGAGTTACTAAAGGAAGGATGCCTGTATCTTTCTAGTGACTGGGTGTATTGATACACCATCCAGAGCTTAATTAATAACTTCACCATGCTCAAAGGGATATTCAATGTCTACTTATTAAATGTTTTACCCATCTACCAATAGGTGCCCTTCTTTGCGAGGCATTGGAAAACCTCCCTGATCTTTGTGGTTGAATCTGTGTTTGAAATTCAGTGCTCGACTAAGGGACCTTACAGATAATTGTATGTTTGGGGTACAGAGATTATGTAGTCATTCAAAAGTCATGTTAAACCCAATTATTGCACACAGAGTGAGTCCATGCAACTTATGTGACTTGTTAAGCAAATCTTTGCTCCTGTCTTATTTAGGCTTGCCATAACAAAGGGGTTGAATACTTATTGACTAAAGACATTTCAGATTTTCATTTTTAATTAATTTGTAAACATTTTGACATTATGGGGTATTGTGACAAAAATCTAAATGTAATACATTTTTAATTCAGGCTGTAACACAACAAAATGTGGAAAAAGTCAAGGGGCGTGAATACTTTCTGAAAACACTGTAAATGTTTGGTTTCTCCTATAACTGTACTTGTTGCTGTTACACTTGTTACCGCAATGGTATTATGTTGGCAATGTAAGTTCTGTACTAATAACAACCTATAAAGGCTCATACATGCTGACAAGTTACAAGGCATTATACCTGCAGACTTTCAGTAAAGTGTCACTGTGTTGAATGGGCTTCCGGCTGCAGGGAGCCAGATACCTGTACACTCAGCCGGGAATCAGACTCAAGTTCCTACTCTAGCACTTTTGTTCAATTATGTTTTCTTATTCTTTTATTTATTGTTTATGTATGTTTATTTGCAGGTGCAGGGTGGCCAGTTCCAGGGTCATATAGTGGTAGACGCAGCAGGTAATCAGACTTTGGTTCAGCAGCAGTTGGAACTGGTTCCTGCACAGTTCACTGGCAACGGCTGGCAGATCATCACTACTGCTCCCCAGATGGCCAAGGACACTGCCAATCAACCAGTCGCCGTGACGCTGGCCACCACTTCAGCCAATGACAGTGCTCCGGCAGGCCGTACGATGAAGGCTGTGGGCGGGACTAACACCGTAGCAGCCAATCAGCAGGCGCAGCAGCAGCAGTTCCAGATCATCCAGGTGTGTGTGTGTGTGTGTGCGTGTGTGCGTGTGTGCGTGTGTGAGTGTATGGAAGGGAAAGTTGTCTGACTGGATGGAGGCAGTTGTGGAAATTCTGGTCCTATAACATATAATTGTATTTTTCTTAGCTATATATGGTGGATTACTGTATGTGACTCCTGAGTGGTGCAGTGGTCTAAGGCACTGCATCGCAGTGCTAACTGTGCCACTAGAGATCCTGGTTCGAATCCAGGCTCTGTCGCAGCCGGCCGTGACCGGGAGACTCATGGGCGGCGCACAATTGGCCCAGCGTCGTCCAGGGTAGGGGAGGGAATGGCCGGCAGGGATGTAGCTCAGTTGATAGAGCATGGCGTTTGCAACGCCAGGGTTGTGGGTTTGATTCCCACGGGGGGCCAGTATAAAAAAATAATAATATGTATTCACTAACTGTAAGTCGCTCTGGATAAGAGCGTCTGCTAAATGACTAAAATGTAAAATGTAAATGTCTATACTATCTCTGTTAGTGTTCAGAACATGCCCAACTAATGAGACTGTTTTTATGTAATGTTAATGTTTTGGTCACTGTCCAGGTGCAAAACATGCCGTCGTCAGGGGGTGGGGTCCAATACCAGGTGATCCCCCACCTGCAGACGGCCGACGGCCAACAGATCCACATCAGCCCCCAGACCGCATCCCTGGGGGGGCAGTACAGACACATCAGGTGGGTGGCAGCTGGTCTAGAGCAGTGGTTCTCAAACCTCTCCTCATGGACCCCCAGATGTTTCACATGTTTGTTGTAACCTGATTCACCTGGTCAACTCACCTGATTCACCTAGTCAAGGGCTTGATGATTAGTTAACCAGTTGAATCAGGTGAGCCAGCTGTGGAATAGTTAAAATACATAGAACGGCTGAGGGTCCCCGAGAAGAGGTTTGAAAACCCCTGGTTTAGAGGTTATACTGGTGGTCTAGAGGTTAGAGGTTAGAGGTTAGAGAGGCGCTTTGGGCCGATAAAAAGTGGGAAATTAACTTTTTTAGATGGAAACAGATAAAGTTATTCTATTCTATTCAGTCCAGCCCAGGGGGGTCTACCAGAGCAGGTCCAGCTGATCCAGACCCAGAACCAATCCCAGACCCAGGCAATCCTACAGCCAGCCAATCAGCAGGCCATCCTCACTAGCTCAGCCAATCAGACATTGCAGCTTCGTTCCGCCCAGTCCTTCCCGCTGCAGATGCAGACCTTACAGGGCTCCCAGACCCAGGTCATGACTACAGTACCCATAAACATCGGCGGTATGACCCTCGCCCTGCCGGTCATGAATAATTTAGCAGGGAGCGGAGCCGTGCAGCTTATCCAATCAGCCGATGGCAGCTTTACCATAGCTAACGGCAACCAGCTTGTGACGACAACGGCAGCAGCGGTGTCCGGGGCAGTTACTGTTACCGGGTCGTCTGGTGGTACCATAACAACTGTTACCGGGGGGGATGGAGTGTCGTCAGACGGAACACAGCTGAGTTCTGTAGCCGGGTCGGACGGAGGGGCGGAGAGAGATGCACAGAACCAACCCAGCGACCAGGACTCTCAGATGGTATGTGTGTGTGTGTGCGTGTGTTTGTGTGACTAAACATCTGTGATGTATTGATTTGATTGTTTGGTTGATTGATTAATGGATTGATTGGTTGATTAATTGTTTGGTTGGTTGGTTGATTGATTTACAGGTCCAGAGTCAGGCCAACGGACTGCAGGGCCAATCAGATCCTCCAGGGACCATCCAGCAGGTCATCGTGGGACAGGTGGGTTCTACTCCTCTGATTTGACCTTTTAACCTTCCGTTCTATTCTATTTGAGTATGATATGATATGGGACTATACTATAATAAATGATATTCTAAGTTGTTGTTATCATCATTCTCCAGATGGGCAACCAGGTGTTGCAGCAGATCCAGATACAGCCACATCAGTTCACACAGGCCCAGATCCAGCCACAGAACCAGGTAACACACACATGCACGCGCACGCACACACACACACACACGCACGCGCACACACACACACACACACACACACACAGTGAATCCGCAGAAAGTGTGTAAACTGTTTGTTTCCACCAGTTCCAGAGCCAGCAGATCCAAACCTTTCAGTTAGGACCAGGCGGGACCCTACAGCCCATACAAGCCTTCCAGAACCAACAGGTAGCTAGCTAGCTGCTCTCTCTTCTCTTTTGTTAACTACCTTCTTTATTGTTTTTAGTTGATTCATTCCCACTCCATTGTACCTGGGGATTTGGGGATATTTGGGGGCAGTAAATTAAAGGGAAATAAATCTGTAGACTTATTTTTATTCTATCCTCAATGATTGTAATGTGTGTTGTATTGATTTGAATTGAATGTCTGAATGATTGATATCCTTTTTGTATTAATTGATTCCTCAAGGTTCTGATCCGGACCCCAACCCTCTCCCCGTCGGGCCAGATCACGTGGCAGACCCTGCAGCTCCCCGGGGGGATGTCTGTGCCCCAGCAGCTGACCCTGGCCCCTGTGGGCGGGGGGGCGGTGGGAGGGGGGGGCTTCATGCAGCTGGGAGGGGCTCCCCTGACGCTGAGCACAGCCCAGATCAACCCTGGGTCGGGGGTGCAGACAGTCAGCATCGCCGGGCTGGGAACCACAGGGGTACAGATGCAGGGGTTACCACTCACAATCACTGGACTACAGGGTAAGACCACTGAGAGAGAGAGGCAGAGTGACAGACAGACAGACACGATAGAGAGAGAGAGACAGACACGATAGAGAGATAGAGACAGAGACAGAGTGAGAGAAACAGACAGAGAGACAGAGAAAGAGACAGAGATAGTGAGAGAGACAGACAGAGAAAGAGAGACAGACAGAGAGAGACAGACAGAGAGAGAGAGACCGAGAGAGAGAGAGACAGAGACAGAGACAGACAGACAGACAGAGTGACGGGCAGAGAGACAGACAGACAGACAGACAGACAGACAGACGGTGTGTGTTGAGTGTTGTTCTCCATGTATATTCGTTTATTTTCTGGGGGGGTTGGGAGCAGAGCTAAAAAAAAACACATTTCCATTCCATTCTACTGTATTCCATTTCACTCTAATCTACACTCCACCAGGTCAGCCGCAGGGTCAGGAGGGAGGAGTTAAGGTCGAGCCATCCCCTGTGACGGTAACCGTGGGTAACGTGGCGGGGTCATCGCTTAGTCCAGACCAGATGGGTTCTGTCCAGAGTTCATCAGACCAGGAAGGACCGCCCAGCAAGAGGCTCCGCAGGGTGGCATGCTCCTGTCCTAACTGTAGGGACGGAGAGGGGAGGTACATGGTGGCATGCTCCTGTCCTAACTGTAGGGATGGAGAGGGGAGGTACATGGTGGCATGCTCCTGTCCTAACTGTAGGGATGGGGAGGGGAGGTACATGGTGGCATGCTCCTGTCCTAACTGTAGGGATAGAGAGGGGAGGTACATGGTGGCATGCTCCTGTCCTAACTGTAGGGATAGAGAGGGGAGGTACATGGTGGCATGCTCCTGTCCTAACTGTAGGGATGGGGAGGGGAGGTACATGGTGGCATGCTCCTGTCCTAACTGGAGGGATAGAGAGGGGAGGTACATGGTGGCATGCTCCTGTCCTAACTGGAGGGATAGAGAGGGGAGGTACATGGTGGCATTCTCCTGTCCTAACTGTAGGGATAGAGAGGGGAGGTACATGGTGGCATGCTCCTGTCCTAACTGTAGGGATAGAGAGGGGAGGTACATGTATACACACACACACTCTCACTCTCTATCTCTGACTGTGTGTGTGTGTGTGTGTTGCAGGACCAGTGGAGACCCATCTAAGAAGAAGCAGCATGTGTGTCACATGGAGGGCTGTGGAAAGGTCTATGGTAAGACCAGTCTATACTGTGTAAAGGTCTATGGTAAGACCAGTCTATCCTGTGTAAAGGTCTATGGTAAGACCAGTCTATACTGTGTAAAGGTCTATGGTAAGACCAGTGGAAAGACTGTGGAAAGGTCTATGGTAAGACCAGTCTATACTGTGTAAAGATCTATGGTAAGACCAGTCTATACTGTGTAAAGGTCTATGGTAAGACCAGTGGAAAGACTGTGGAAAGGTCTACGGTAAGACCAGTCTATACTGTAGAAAGGTCTTTGGTAAGACCAGTCTATACTGTGTAAAGGTCTATGGTAAGAGCAGTCTATACTGTGGAAAGGTCAATGGTAAGACCAGTCTATACTGTGGAAAGGTCTATGGTAAGACCAGTCTGTACTGTGGAAATGGTAAGACCAGTCTATACTATGGAAATGGTAAGACCAGTCTATACTGTGGAAAGGTCTACGGTAAGACCAGTCTATACTGTAGAAAGGTCTTTGGTAAGATCAGTCTATACTGTAGAAAGGTATATGGTAAGACCAGTGTATACTATGGAAAGGTCTATGGTAAGGCCAGTCTATACTGTGGAAAGGTCTATGGTAAGGCCAGTCTATACTGTGGAAAGGTCTATGGTAAGACCAGTCTATACTGTGGAAAGGTCTATGGTAAGACCAGTCTATACTGCAAAAAATAGAGATTTACCAGTCTATGAAGAAAAATAAGATGTCTTTAATATTCTATCTATCAGGTAAGACCAGTCACCTGAGAGCTCACCTCCGCTGGCACACAGGAGAACGACCCTTCGTCTGCAACTGGATCTTCTGTGGCAAGAGGTTCACACGCTCGGACGAACTGCAGAGACACAGACGGACACACACAGGTACACACACACACAGATACAGTGGGGAGAACAAGTATTTGATACACTGCCGATTTTGCAGGTTTTCCTACTTACAAAGCATGTAGAGGTCTGTAATTTTTATCATAGGTACACTTCAACTGTGAGAGACGGAATCTAAAACAAAAATCCAGAAAATCACATTGTATGATTTTTAAGTAATTAATTTGCATTTTATTGCATGACATAAGTATTTGATACATCAGAAAAGCAGAAATTAATATTTGGTACAGAAACCTTTGTTTGCAATTACAGAGATCATACGTTTCCTGTAGGTCTTGACCAGGTTTGCACACACTGCAGCAGGGATTTTGGCCCACTCCTCCATACAGACCTTCTCCAGATCCTTCAGGTTTCGGGGCTGTCGCTGGGCAATACGGACATTCAGCTCCCTCCAAAGATGTTCTATTGGGTTCAGGTCTGGAGACTGGCTAGGCCACTCCAGGACCTTGAGATGCTTCTTACGGAGCCACTCCTTAGTTGCCCTGGCTGTGTGTTTCGGGTCGTTGTCATGCTGGAAGACCCAGCCACGACCCATCTTCAATGCTCTTACTGAGGGAAGGAGGTTGTTGGCCAAGATCTCGCGATACATGGCCCCATCCATCCTCCCCTCAATACGGTGCAGTCGTCCTGTCCCCTTTGCAGAAAAGCATCCCCAAAGAATGATGTTTCCACCTCCATGCTTCACGGTTGGGATGGTATTCTTGGGGATCCTTCTTCTTCCTCCAAACACGGCGAGTGGAGTTTAGACCAAAAAGCTCTATTTTTGTCTCATCAGACCACATGACCTTCTCCCATTCCTCCTCTGGATCATCCAGATGGTCATTGGCAAACTTCAGACGGGCCTGGACATGCGCTGGCTTGAGCAGGGGGACCTTGCGTGCGCTGCAGGATTTTAATCCATGACGGCGTAGTGTGTTACTAATGGTTTTCTTTGAGACTGTGGTCCCAGCTCTCTTCAGGTCATTGACCAGGTCCTGCCGTGTAGTTCTGGGCTGATCCCTCACCTTCCTCATGATCATTGATGCCCCACTAGGTGAGATCTTGCATGGAGCCCCAGACCGAGGATGATTGACCGTCATCTTGAACTTCTTCCATTTTCTAATAATTGCGGCAACAGTTGTTGCCTTCTCACCAAGCTGCTTGCCTATTGTCCTGTAGCCCATCCCAGCCTTGTGCAGGTCTACAATTTTATCCCTGATGTCCTTACACAGCTCTCTGGTCTTGGCCATTGTGGAGAGGTTGGAGTCTGTTTGATTGAGTGTGTGGACAGGTGTCTTTTATACAGGTAACGAGTTCAAACAGGTGCAGTTAATACAGGTAATGAGTGGAGAACAGGAGGGCTTCTTAAATAAAAACTAACAGGTCTGTGAGAGCCGGAATTCTTACTGGTTGGTAGGTGATCAAATACTTATGTCATGCAATAAAATGCAAATTAATTACTTAAAAATCATACAATGTGATTTTCTGGATTTTTGTTTTAGATAAAAATGACAGACCTCTACATGCTTTGTAAGTAGGAAAACCTGCAAAATCGGCAGTGTATCAAATACTTGTTCTCCCCACTGTATGTCCTGTGTAAAATGTTACCTCTAATTTTTTCGGCACTGCTGAGCGCAAACTTGAAAGTTGTGAAAATTCTGTGCAACTTCAGGCGCACGTTTACTGTGAACACTGAGGTTGTACCCGCTTTAAGTTACAGTTATTACAGTGGCCAAGTAGGCTACTGTGGCTATTTGATCATAATGTAGGCCTACCAGAGTGGCCTACCATCAAAAACAATGGAGAAAATGTATTGAATTTTACCCCCTTTTTTCTCCCCAATTTCGATCTTGTCTCATCACTGCAACTCCCCAACGGGCTCGGGAGGCGAAGGTCGAGTCATGCGTCCTCCGAAACATGACCCGCCAAACCGCGCTTCTTAACACCCGCCCACTTAACCCAGAAGTCAGCTGCACCAATGTGTCAGAGGAAACACTGTTTAACTGACGACCGAGGTCAGCCTGCAGGCGCCTGGCCCGCCACAAGGAGTCGCTAGAGCGCAATGAGCCATGTAAAGCCTCCCGGCCAAACCCAAACTTAAATCCGTTTTACCTAATTTCTACCAGCATGTTAAATGTGCAACCAGAGGGAAACTCTAGACCGCCTTTACTCCACACACAGAGACGCGTACAAAGCTCTCCCTCGCCCTCAATTTTGGCAAATCTGACCATAATTCTATCCTCCTGATTCCTGCTTACAAGCAAAAACTAAAGCAGGAAGCACCAGTGACTCAGTCAATAAAGAAGTGGTCAGATGACGCAGATGCTAACCTACAGGACTGCTTTGCTATCACAGACTGGAATATGTTCTGGGATTCTTCCAATGGCATTGAGGAGTACACCACATCTGTCACTGGCTTCATCAATAAGTACATCGATGACGTCGTCGCAACAGTGACCGTACATACATACCCCAACCAGAAGCTATGTATTACAGGCAACATCCGCACTGAGCTAAAGGGTAGAGGTGCCGGACGCTTATAAGAAATCCCGCTATGCCCTCCGACGAACCATCAAACAGGCTAATATTGAATCGTACTACACCGGCTCCGACGCTCGTCGGATGTGGCAGGGCTTGCAAACTATTACAGACTACAAAGGGAAGCACAGCCGCGAGCTGCTCAGTGACACAAGCCTACCAGACAAGCTAAATTACTTCTATGCTCGTGTCGAGGCAAGCAACACTGAAGCATGCATGAGAACATCAGCTGTTCCAGACGACTGTGTGATCACGCTCTCCGTAGCCGATGTAAGACCTTTAAACAGGTCAACATTCACAAGGTGGATTACCAGGACGTGTACTCCGAGCATGCGCTGACCAACTTGCAAGTGTCTTCACTGACATTTTCAACCTGTCCCCGACTGAGTCTGTAATACCAACATGTTTCAAGCAGACCAACATAGTCCCTGTGCCCAAGAACACTAAGATAACCTGCCTAAATGACTACAGACCCGTAGCACTCAAGTCTGTAGCCATGAAGTGCTTTGAAAGGCTGGTCATGGCTCACATCAACACCATTATCCCAGAAACCCTAGACCAACTCCAATTTGCATACCGCTCCAACAGATCCACAGTTTATGCAATCTCTATTGCACTCCACACTGCCCTTTCCCACCTGGACAAAAGGAACACCTACGTGAGAATGCTGTTCATTAACTACAGTTCAACACCATAGTGCCCTCAAAGCTCATCACTAAGCTAAGAACCCTGGGACTAAACACCTCCCTCTGCAACTGGATCCTGGACTTCCTGACGGGCCGCCCTCAGGTGGTAAGGGTAGGTAACAACACATCTGCCACGCTGATCCCCAACACGGGAGCCCATCAGGGGTGCGTGCTCAGTCTCCTCCTGTACTCCCTGTTCACCCATGACTGCATGGCCAGGCACGACTCCACCATCATTAAGTTTGCCGATGACACAACAGTGGTAGGCCTGATCACCGACAACGATGAGACAGCCTATAGGGAGGAGGTCAGTGACCTGGCCGTGTGGTGCCAGGACAACAACCTCTCCCTCAACGTGATCAAGACAAAGGAGATGATTGTGGACTACAGGAAAAGGAGGACCGAGCACGCCTCCATTCTCATCGACGGGGCTGTAGTCGAGCACGTCGAGAGCTTCAAATTCCTTGGTGTACACATCACCAACAAACTATCATGGTCCAAAGACAGTCGTGAAGAGGGCACGACAAAGCCTATTTCCCTTCAGGAGACTGAAAAGATTTGGCATGGGTCCTCAGATCCTCAAAGGGTTATACAGCTGCACTATCAAGAGCATCCTGACTGGTTGCATCACTGCCTGGTATGGCAACTGCTCGGCCTCCGACCGCAAGGCACTAAAGAGGGTAGTGCGTACGGCCCAGTACATCACTGGGGCCAATCTTCCTGCCATCCAGGACCTCTATACCAGGCGGTGTCAGAGGAAGGTCCTAAAAATTGTCAAAGACTCCAGCCACCCTAATCATAGACTGTTCTCTCTTCTACTGCACGGCAAGCGGTACCGGAGCGCCAAGTCTAGGTCCAAGAGGCTTCTTAACAGCGTCTATCCCCAAGCCATAAGACTCCTGAACAGCTAATCACATGGCTACCCGGACTATTTGCATTGTCACCCCCCCCCCGCATTGTTGGTTAAGGGCTTGTAAGCATTTCACTGTAAGGTCTACACCTGTTGTATTCGGCGCATGTGACAAATACAATTTGATTTGATATTTCTTCGGCAACTTAGAGGGAACATTGCCTGTTTCTGTGTTGTTCTTAATCAGATGGTCTCTCTCTCCCCATCCATCCTCCAGGAGAGAAGAGGTTTGAGTGTCCAGAGTGCAGTAAGCGTTTCATGCGTAGTGACCATCTCTCCAAACACATCAAAACCCACCAGAACAAGAAGGGAGGGGCATCTCTCGCCATCATCACCACCGACGACATGGAAGATTCTAACCAGGGCTTAGGCTCTTCCCCTCGCATCGTAACTGTGGCTACGCTCTCCCAGGACTCCGCCCCCGCCACGCCAACAGCCTCCTCGCCCAATCAAATGGAGGGAGAAGAGGAGGAAGAGGAGGAGTTTGAGTAGTGACCAGAGTGCAGTAAGCGTTTCATGCGTAGTGACCATCTCTCCAAACACTTCCTGTGAAGGGAAGAAGTAGGGAGGGCTGACTTCGTAGTTGGTCTCCATGGTTACGCCGTGGCTGTGGAGGTCAGGTGGTATATATATATATTTTTTATTATTATTTGTTTGTTTTTTAAACGGACTCAAAGAGAAGAGAAATATGACAGACTGAAAATGACAAACAGACAGAGGAATCTGAATCTTAACTAATAATTGAATCCAACGACAGACTAAAGGTGTGAATTAGTAGAATGGTGTTTATAACAGAACAGAGGTCAGGGGGAAAGGCTAATCTGAACTCGCACCCTATCCCCTACAGTTGAAGTCGGAAGTTTACATACACCTTAGCCAAATACATTTAAACTCAGTTTTTCACAATTCCTGACATTTAATCCTAGTAAAACATTCCCTGTCTTAGGACAGTTAGGATCACAACTTTATTTTAAGAATGTGAAATGTCATTATAATAGTAGAGAGAATGATTTATTTCAACTTTTATTTATTTCATCACATTCCCAGTGGGTCAGAAGTTTACATACACTCAATTAGTATTTGGTAGCATTGCCTTTAAATTGTTTAACTTGGGTCAAACGTTTCGGGTAGCCTTCCACAAGCTTCCCACAATAAGTTGGGTGAATTTTGGCCCATTCCTCCTGACAGAGCTGGTGTAACTGAGTCAGGTTTGTAGGCCTCCTTGCTCGCACACGCTTTTTCAGTTCTGGCCACACATTTTCTATAGGATTGAGGTCAGGGCTTTGTGATGGCCACTCCAATACCTTGACTTTGTTGTCCTTAAGCCATTTTGCCACAACTTTGGAAGTATGCTTGGGGTCATTGTCCATTTGGAAGACACATTTGCGACCAAGCTTTAACTTCCTGGCTGATGTCTTGAGATGTTGCTTCAATATATCCACATAATTTTCCTTCCTCATGATGCCATCTATTTTGTGAAGTGCACCAGTCCCTCCTGCAGCAAAGCACCCCCACAGCATGATGCTGCCACCCCCGTGCTTCACGGTTGGGATGGTGCACTTAGTTATATTTCAAGTAATTAGAGATATCCAATTAACAGTAAAAGAGTTTCCGGTGTGATTTGACGTTGGCGCTGCTTCCTCTGCATTGTGAAGGCCCCCCTGTGTGTGAGTCCTGGTACTACAACGCCTTAACACAAGCAGTACATACATTTAGCTGCACCCCAATGCTCACCTCTGTTTTCTGTGTGAGGGGCAAAGAGAGGATGCAGGAAGACGAGGGGTGATGGAGGGGAGAGAAGGGGTTGTGGGAGGGGAGAGAAGGGGTTGTGCTACACGGTTGGGATGGTGTTCTTCGGCTTGCAAGCCTTGCCCTTTTTCCTCCAAACATAACGATGGTCATTATGGCCAAACAGTCCTATTTTTGTTTCATCAGACCAGAGGACATTTCTCCAAAAAGTGTTGCAAACCGTAGTCTGGCTTTTTTATGGCGGTTTTGGAGCAGTGGCTTCTTCCTTGCTGAGCGGCCTTTGAGGTTATGTCGATATAGGACTCGTTTTACTGTGGATATAGATACTTTTATACCTGTTTCCTCCAGCATCTTCACAAGGTCCTTTGCTGTTGTTCTGGGATTGATTTGCACTTTTCGCACCAAAGTACGTTCATCTCTAGGAGACAGAACGCATCTCCTTCCTGAGTGGTATGACGGCTGTGTGGTCCCATGGTGTTTATACTTGCGTACTATTGTTTGTACAGATGAATGTGGTACCTTCAGGCGTTTGGAAATTGCTCCCAAGGATGAACCAGACTTGTGAAGGTCTACCATTTTTTCTGAGGTCTTGTCTGATTTCTTTTGATTTTCCCATGATGTCAAGCAAAGAGGTACTGAGTTTGAAGGTAGGCCTTGAAATACATCCACAGGTACACCTCCAATTGACTCAAATGATGTCAATTAGCCTGTCAGAAGCTTCTAAAGCCATGACATCATTTTCTGGAATTGTCCAAGCTGTTTAAAGGCACAGTCAACTTAGTGTATGTAAACTTCTGACCCACTGGAATTGTGATACAGTGAATTGAGAGTGAAATAATCTGTCTGTAAACAATTGTTGGAAAAAGACTTGTGTCATGCACAAAATAGATGTCCTAACCGACTTGCCAAAACTATAGTTTGTTAACAAGACATTTGTGGAGTGGTTGAAAAATGAGTTTTAATGACTCCAACCTAAGTGTATGTAAACTTCCGAATTCAGCTGTATATAGTGCACTACTTTTGGCCAGAGCCTTCTGAGTAGTGTGTTATGTAGGGAAGAGGGTGCCATTTTGGATAGGTTTATTAGACTAGCACAAAACAGTTCTACAACATCAAGAAGAGCATTGGATGTGTCCCAAATGGCTAGGGTGCCATTTGAAACGCAACAATTGTATCTCTATGCACAAAGATGTTCTGTAACAATAGTGATTAGGATGATGATGAAACATGATATGTGGCGTGGTCTAGAATGTTGACAAACAGGTGAGAGGAGCCGGGACAGGTGTCTGTGTGTGTGTGTGTTTGTGTGTGTGTGTGTGTGTGTGTGTGTGTCACTGTACCTCGGTTCAACAGGACTATAGTTCAGGTAAAGAGGATCTGATAAACTGAAGAAAGACAACAAAAGGAGGAATAGACTTGTAAAGGGCAGAAAAAAATCACACACACAAAAATTCCTGTAAAGAAACGCTTGGCATTTGAAATATTTGTTTCTATAAAACGACCAATCGAGTTTTCTTTCTCCAACAGGCTGTTTACTGAAAGCAATACCATAAGACAATCCTAGTGAAACCATGTTTACATTAAAGAGAGGAAAAGGAAACCAGTCAGCTCACAGCATTAAAGGTACACTCAGCAATATGACGTAGCAATCATACACAGCTGGGTGACTTCCTGATGTCATATTGCCGAGTGCATCTTTAAGATGTAGCGCTCCCGGGGTTGGTGGGTGGGTGGGACAGTGTCAGTAAGCAGCGCTTACTCAGAGCAGCAGCTGTTGTCTATATCAGAACCAGTTTAGAATACAGCAGTAATGTGACTTAATAACTTTCTAAACTTGTATAAAGTATTAATGTCTGCTATAAATGAGATACATTCCAGTAGTGAGACATATTCCAGATGCACTACATGACCAAAAGTATGTGGACACCTGCTCGTCGAATATTAATATATGGAGTTGGTCCCCCCCTTTGCTGCTATAACAGCCTCCACTCTTCTGGGAAGGCTTTCCCCTAGATGTTGGAACATTGCTGCAGGGTCTTGCTTCCATTCAGCCACAAGAACATTAGCGAGGTCGGGCGCTGATGTTGGGCGATTAGACCCTCAGTCGGTGTTCCAATTCATCCCAAAGGTGTTCGATGTGGTTGAGGTCAGGGCTCTGTTCAGGCCAGTCAAGTTGGCGGTCCCGTTCTGTGAGCTTGTGTGGCCTACCACTTCGCCGCTGAGCCGTTGTTGCTCCTAGATATTTCCACTTCACAATAGCAGCATTTACAGTTGACCGGTGCAGTTCTAGCAGGGCAGAAATTTGACGAACTGACTTGTTGGAAAGGTGGCATCCTATGACGGTGCCGCGTTGAAAGTCACTAAGCTCTTCATTAAGGCCATTCTACTGCCAGTGTTTGTCTATGGAGATTGCATGGCAGTCAGTTCGATTCTATATACCTGTCAGCAACGTGTGTGGCTGAAATAGCTGAATCAACCAATTTGAAGGGATGTCCACATACTTTTGTGTATATATATATATATATATATATATATATATATATATATATATATATATATATATATATATTAGTGATATTTCAAGTAATTAGAGATATCCAGTTAACAGTAAAAGAGTTCCGGTGTGATTTGACGTTGGCGCTGCTTCCTCTGCATTGTGAAGGTGGAGCCCCCCTGTGTGTGAGTCCTGGTACTACAACGCCTTAACACAAGCAGTACATACATTTAGCTGCACCCCAATGCTCACCTCTGCTTTCTGTGTGATGGTCAAAGAGAGGACGCAGGAAGACAAGGGGTGATAGAGGGGAGAGAAGGGGTTGTGGGAGGGGAGAGAAGGGGTTGTGGGAGGGGAGAGAAGGGGTTGTGGGAGGGGAGAGAAAGTGTTGTGGGAAGGGAGAGAAGGAGTTGTGGGAGGGGAGAGAAGGGGTTGTGGGAGGGGAGAGAAGGGGTTGTGGGAGGGGAGAGAAGGGGTTGTGGGAGGGGGGAGAAGGGGTTGTGGGAGGGGAGAGAAGGGGTTGTGGGAGGGGGGATTCTATTAGCTGTTTGTTATGACATGCTTCTGGTGATGTTGCTCTGTCAATGTCGGTGCATAATTTTTATTTTTTTCGTTTTATTTTCTTAACCCCTCAGTACGTTCTGACACATGATTACTGTGTACAGCTAATGTATTATTCACCCTATTTTAATATCTGCCTTTAGCTGGAGTGTATTGTAAGTAGACCTACGCGTTGATCAGAGGTGTGTCCAGCATGTTGTGTTTTTGTGCTGTTTTCTCTTCTTTTAATTCATCGTAAACTTATTTTTCTAACTGCTCCCCGTCGTTTCTACTTCTCTCTCACACCATAATATGATTTTAAAAAAAGATGAAAGCAAAAAATAAATACAAAATAAAAATATTTGAAAATGAAATGGTTTATGTACCAAACAGATGTGGATGTTTTTGGTAATATTTTGTGTGACAATGAGTTTTCTTTAATATTTTCTAGTGACATCTCATTTGTATAATGTTTTTCTAAGATGTTTGTGGATCTCGATGCTGTCCTCCAAGGCTGCAGGTTCTTGACTATTGATATACTATTGATATTGTATTGATATTTTTAAATCAACTTTGTACAAACGTGTTATGTGACTGGGATTAAAGTAGTGTTAAGAGAAAAAAATTACTTTGCTTGCATAACACTTAAAATAAAGTGATAAAATCAGTCTAAACCTGTCTCTCTCACGTCTAACCTGGTGTGTGT